TTCCTTGCTCACTTCCCTTAGCTCTACCAGTCAGAGAGAGAGAAAAGAGACTTGTCCCGTATGCCAGAATTCCGTCTGTTGTACTGCACACATTCCAGGCTAGGGTGGGGTATGTACTATGGTCCTGAGTTATCACCACCTATTATTCTCACAGCCTTTGTTCATATTTAATAACGAACTTCTGAATCCAGTAGGTGAGGGCTGCAGCCTGCCTCAGGCTCTGACCTGATTCTATTTCCACAGTGTAAATCTTCCCACTACAGTCAATTTCAAGTTACAGCGGGGGAGGACAGGCCATGGCTGACTGTGGATGCAAGGACACAGCTCTGTGGGCTAGCCTGAGCGATTCTTTGTGTCCCTGTAGAATACTTCGTGCTGGGGCACAGTCACAGTGGCTACCTGCTGATACAGTACCAACTCCTATTGACACCTGCCTGCTGAGTTTTCTTTCCACACATCTGTTTTCAGTGCCTCTGTGGTACCAAGTCCCGTGCCCATATTTAAGTGTGGTACTCCACTGAGGTCTTCTATGGTTAGTGATAAAAAGCTCCCCACATAGGTTGGCTGAATAGAACTGGAGGCTTATCATCCCTCTGGCCCACCTGTCTTTGTCACCTGTCTCAACCCTGGGATGACATTGATTTGTGACTCTTCTAGTAAATACAGTCAACTCATCCAAGGGATGAAGACAAGTGGCTGTGTGTGCTCAGGCATGCTGGGATAAGAACCCGGGGCTTAGAAACGAGGCCACCAAGCTGACTGACCTCTTACACAAAACCCCAGGCTCAAAAGGCACTGACTGGGTCTGTTAAAACCTGTCCTCCCAACAAGAACAGCTGGATTGAAAAAAAAAAAAGAAAAAAAGAAAAGAAACGAAAAAACGATGCTACTGCCTGGTTTGAATCAAAAGCTAGCCAGTCAGACTAAGGGGCATGGTGAGAGGGAACCACGGCCACTCACGCGCACAGCTTTCAGATCTGAAGCAGGCTGGATCTTGGAGAGACAGCCCAACAAGACACATGTTCTCAGAGGGCTAAGGCTCTCTGTCTCAAGACATGACTCCACGAGATTGCTTCCCCATTCTGTCCTGTGGACCCCACCAGGTCACCTAGTCTTGTGGCATGATGGGCCGCTCATGTTCCCCACCCCATCCATTCTTTCATCGTCTATGGCAACAAGACCCAGTCTCCCTAGATGACCAAGTTATAGACTCTGAAAGGTGGTGGGTGAGACTTCCGGAAAGTAGCCCTAAAGAGACCCTCCTTCTTGAGATAGATGAGCTCCTCTCTCAGCGCTATGAGAGAATACCTGACAAAGGCCACTGAAGGAAGTTTATTTGGGCTCATAGTTCACCACGGTGAGAAGGCATGGCGGCAGGAGCTGGCCACATTGCGTTCAGTCAGGAAGTGGAGACTCCGAGATGAATCCTGGTGCTCAGCTTACTTCCTCTGTGTAGGATCCCAACCCGTGGGATGGTATTGCCCACACTCCAGCCAGCTACTCCGATCCCAGTTAACCCAGACTAAAAACTCCCTCCCAGACACACCCCAGGGTTTGTCTCCTAAGTGACTCTAGATACCATTAAGGTGATAACTAGCATTGACAGGTGGTCACCCTGAGAACCAAACAATAGAAAGAAACAATTCCCTGCATCACAGAGCCCAGACCTAGCCCTAGATGGCTACCTTGGTCATAAGTAATGCTGTTCTTGTTTGCTGGGTTGTCTGTGGCCCTTCTCAAGCAGACCATAATCCTAACCAACCAGATTGGCCTTCATATGGAGCTGAAGGGGAGGGACAACTCCTATCAGGACAGCATACAGGAGCCCTGATGAGTACTGCCCCATAGAATGCCCCTGTGTAAATATGAGTTTGCAGAAACATGAGGGCAAGGGGGGGAAAGGTGTGTGTGTGTGTATGTGTGTGTGTGTGTGTTGTAGACACAATGCTATTCTACATTGTAACTTTATATCCTTTAGCTTTACTGAGGTCTAGATCAAAATGTATCTGTCTATCCACAGTATAGTCTTGATACTGTATACAGGGATATCCAATTATATACAAAGTAACAGGTTTTGAAGAACACCCCTAAAGGGCAGTGAGAAGGAATTTTTATTCCTATGGGAAGTTGTATCCCACCCTGAGGTGGGGGGAGGGGAAAGAACCACATGGGCATTTTCCTCTGACTTTCTGCCCTGGCCCAGCACATTCTAGGGTCTAAAACATGTTGAGTGTTTACTAGTACCTGTAGAGTTAGTGGACATACTTTCTGCTGGCCTCTGAGACCTTCCTTAATTCAAATACAACTCCTTCAGCAAGACTCAGGAGCCAGGTAACCTCCAGCTGGCCCAGAAAGGGGAAGTATCAATGAGACACACAGAACAAGAGGGCCAGGGTGGACCCTGGCAGACCTGGCGCAGGGCAGTAAGCCACATCGCAGACGGGTTCCTTTGGCCTGTTTCATTCTGCATGGTTCACTCACTCTTGGGCCGCTCCTGCCACTATCACTTCCAACTCAGCTCAAGGGACAGCATTTCTAGGTGGTCCTGGGGCTCGCCTCACCTGTGGATCCCAGCTGCCCACCTTGGGCTACAATCTTCTTTCCAGTCCATGGATGTAGGTGGCGTGCCCTTTGTTGACACACCAGCTTAGGGAGCAGAGAGACGGCTACTGTCCCCAGCAAGGTCTGCAAGGTGAAACCCACAAAGTCTCTCTCTATGGAACTATCTGGAATGAGGCTCTCTTAGTTAGGGCTTCTATTGCTATGATAAAAGACCACAGCAGACACGACTTGCGGAGGAAGGGGTTTATTTCGGCTTACACTTCCACAGCACAATTCATCACTGAGGGATGTTGGGACAGGAACTGATACAGCTCCGAAACCCCAAGGCAAGAACTGATGCAGAGGCCCTGGAGGGTGCTGCTTAGTGGCTTACTCAGCTGCCTTCTACCAGCGCTCAGGACCACCAGCCCAGGGCGGCACCGCTCACAGCAAGCTGGGCTCTTCTGCATCCTTCATCAATCAAGAAAATGTACCACTAAGTTGCCCACAGGCAAATCTGGTGAGGGAATTTTCTCAACTGAGGTTCCTTCTTCCAGAATGACTGTAGCTTGTGTCAAATTGACATAAAGCCAGCACAGGGAGGTTGGGCTCTGTCATCCTGGAGGGCACGTCACCCAGCGAAAGGACAGTGGGTGACTGCCGCTGTGACCCCAGCATCCCCTGATAGAATAGCAATGTGTGTGGGTCGGTAAAGGGCTTGGAGATAAACCACTCCAGAGACAGTCAGGGAATAGCGTCTGCTTTAAGGCACGTGAACAACCACTTACATAGTAGAAACCTCTAACTGTGATAGGTTAGCACATTACCTCGGACTGGACACCGAAATGCTCACACCACCAGGTGTGAATACACCCTATGTGGAAGAAGAGCATTAAAGGAGATGCAGAGGGTGCAGACTCACCCACAGGCCAGCTACCTGCTACTCGCACAACTTCAGAATTCAGGGAGCTTGGTGCGCTATGCTTCGGTGTGCCAAGTAGGCTGGCCACCGGGTCATGACTGCATTTTCTTCTACAGGCAACCAGAGGACGCACATGTTCAATAACAGTGATGTGGATAGAGCTGGGGATGAGCCGTGTAATGGAAACTCGTGAGTTCTGGTTCCCAGGGCACCTCAGGGCTCCGGGGAACTGTCAGAGATGGGTCTTATTATAAGAGGCAAAGTTAGCAAGGTCCTCGCTGGCTCCTAACCCAACAAAGCTAGGGGTCTCATGAGAAAAGAAAGAAACGTGTGCCAAGGAAAGGCCACCAGAGACCATAGCAGGAGGCTTCTACTGCGAGCCAAGGAGGAAATCTTCAGTTAAAAAAAAAATCAGGCCTTGGCCTTGAGGTCTGGGACCACAGGGCGGGGGGGGGGGGGGGGGGGGGGGTCCGTACCCATATGTTCGGTCTTCCACTTTTCTCACAGTAGAGGCGAGGGAGATCATCCAAGAAGAGAAAGGCACACAGCCCACTGGGAACCAGGGGACTGTGGCCCAAGGGGGACAGTGTAGGACCCAAGAATATCCCAGAAAGGGCTACAAGGTTGAGGGAGCTGCTTCTTCTACCTGCTGCCCACAAGGTGGGGACTTACGCCACCAAGGCAAGAGACCCGGAGGAGGTGATGGTGGCAAGGCCTGGACATAATCAGGAGGAGCTGGTGGGTGGCTGAAGCCCCTGTGGTCTGTCCTCTACTTCCCAACAGCTTCTGGTCACAAAACCCATGGCAGACTGCAGTGGCCAAAGCCAACACAGGCCGGTAAGAACGTGTCCAAACACCCAGCTGTGGTGGAGGCATGTCAGGATGATCTGAGCATGCACAGGGTGACCAGCTCACAGTGTGGACTGGATAAAGATGGGATGACATAAATCCTCATGTCCACCTGCCTCTGGCCTGGGCACACGGGAAGGACACACAATCATAGTCCTCGACACACAGAGTGCTAGGGCTATTATGGGGTGGTGTGGGCTCCTCCACTCTCAGTAGTGTGACCATAGCCTCGGGCCACAATTGTAACAAGAAACCACACTAGCCAAGTGCTCCCTAGTCTCGTGTAACATTCACAGGGACCCACAAAGTGCACCAATGTCAAGGGCAGCTGGCTGCCCACCCTGGTGGCCTTGATCCATCTCCTTGGTAACAGGGCACCACGTTCTCCAGGTGGGTATATGCCTACCTCACTCTGTGTGCTTCCAAGCATCACTGTAGCCATGAGTAGCCCCGCAACAAGGTGCTGGCTAAAGAGCTCACGGGGCCTCTGCTTCCTTCCAGTTATACCATTAGGAACCTCAGGAGTCACACTGGGTGGCCAGGCGACCGTGAAGAGGAAAGTACAGGCTGGGGATAGGAGACTGGGATCCTAAGGCTGCTTTTGTCTGTAGGGACTGATGGGGACAGACAACACTTGATCATTTAGGTTTTCTATATCAAAGGACACAGGGTTCATCCTAGAGGAGAAAGTGCTGTTTTTATTGCTGAAGACCGAGGCTCTTGCTCTAAGACCACCTGCTGGACCTTGCTGGATGCTGTACCAGCCAGGCAGAAGGGACCATCTGGCAGTCAGTCTTTGGGTAGGATAAACCCTGCTGAACTTAGGACGCCAGCTAGTCCCTCCCAGGCACAAAAGTTTAACCACGGCTGCAGAATAGAACGTAGGTTTATTTGTAGTAAAAACCTTAGTCTGGGGAGGAAAACCCATTGGCAAATGTACAATTGTTCCATTGGGGGTGCTGCTGGCTGTGGGACCCCCTCATCCCTGACTTGCATGCATTGTACTGCAAATGTTCACAGCTGATCTCAGGGCCCCAGCCCTCAAATGGTGTCCAGTCTCCTGCAGAGGCGACTGTGTACCAGCTTGTCCAGCCTTCCCATCACCCTGCCCAGTGTGGCGCAAAAACAAAAAAAAAACTAAACCAAACACAAACGTCAAAACAAACACAAAACACTCACAAAACCAGGGCTCTAGATTACTCTTTTTCTCAGTGTCCTTCATTATCATGACTTATATCATGACAAACTAAAATATACATCATTTTGCTATTATAGAATCTCTTATTCACAGATATATAATGGGAGATTTCGATGAAATAATTACAACTTTCCCCTCCCCTTTAAAACACAAACAGGCAAAACGAAACATAATAGAACAAAAACAACAACAAACAAACAAAAACGAGAAAAAAACAAAGCACAAGGGTGTTCTGAGGGCATTCATATGGAAGGGGCTGGCAGAGTCCTCCCCACAGCATGCACTGGCACCGGGCAGGCTGGGCCGAGGAGCCAGGCAAAGTGGCCTGTGCCCCCAACTCCCTGCAAGCCCCCCGCTCCCACACCAGCTTCTCACAGCCCAAGCCTTTCCAGGGTGTCTCACTCTCTGTTGCTCCCCACCTTCTGAGTTCCTATGTGCCTCCCTCCACATCCCAGCAAGCTGTGTGTGGGCACCAAGCTGGAGGACAGGAGGCCAACGCTGGAAAATAGTCCCAGGTGCAGGTCCCGGCCCCACTCCAGCAGGGACATTGTCTCAAACCCTAGCCTTGGTTCTCCTCGCCCGGGACTGTGCAGCAAGATGGAGGGAGAAAACGGGGGTCAATGGCTACGAAGCACCAGGAGAGAGGAGGGAAAAGGGGTGGAGACACCCCAAGAGCACTTATTTTGGGTTGGCCTCAAGCCCAGTATGTGGGCTGCAGGGATCTTTGTGGGGACACCTGGTGAGGGCTAGTGCAAAGGCCAGCAGACCCCTAGGGACCATGGTTTGGAATGCAGAAGATGCAAGAGTGCCTCCTGGAGAGAAAAGAGGCAGTGGGGGAGGGGAACCTGGTTCTCTCCTCTGCCCTTTGGGGTTCACTGATGTGTCCCCTGGCAGCAGGGCAGGGAAGACCTCAGGAAAGAGGCTTCGGAGCAAAAAGCAGTACCACTGATTAGGGGTGGGATGGGGGTGGGTCAGCAATGTCATCGTTCCAAAGGCCCCTCCTGAAAGAGGAGCCTGCCCAGTTAGCACCCAGCAGGACCCTGACGTGTGGGGAAGGGAGGCAGTCAGAGAAAGCTGCAGAGCCAGCATGACCCGGTGGCCCCTGTGCAAACTCTCTGACCCTGAACCCCAGATGGGCCTAGTGTGTGCTACAGCATGGTCTGGTCCTGCCTGCCTCCTGAGACCTGACACCCACTCTAGAGAGCAGCAGCAAAGACAGGCAGATCAGTGCAGGGCCGAGCAGACAGGGCTGGGAAGGGCCCCCTCTGCTGTCCCCAGCTCTCCCTGGCACACCTGAACACCTAAACCAGAGGGGCAGGCAGTGTCTTCTGACCTTGGCTGTCATCCACACCCAGCTGGCCACAGCAGCCCAGGCCCCGAGTCCCCTCTCCTTGGTGCTCTGGGTGTGGCCAGCATAGGTTTCCTCTATGTACAAGGAATGTACCCAGGGACGGGCCACCCCGGGCAGGTGACGGTGGAACACCTTCCCCATTCCTGTGGGCTGTAACAGCTGCAGACTTAGCAGGCAGTTCCCAGAGCCATGGAGAAGCCAGAGGTGGACTTCAGAGCTGGGGAGATTCCCAAGAACATCCGTGAGTCCTGGCCAGGTCTTGCCCTCACTGGACGCCCTCCTCTTCCACGTATGTCGAAGGAAACCAACCGATCTGAAAGAGAGGGCAGTGATGTCATGTCTGCATGTGTGTGCACATGGCAAGAAGGTGTGTGTTATGGCAGGGACAGGAGGGGCTTAGGGAGATGAGAATCCCTCCTAAAAGCCAGAGATCTTAACCAGGTCTCAGTGAGCCTTGAAGAGAGACTGAGAGCCTGGACCTAATTCACGATCTACCTATGAGAAAGATGTCAGACCCTACTGAGGACATTGAATCTCCCCACATCTCTTGACACACAACCTGGCTTTCTGCCATGAGTGTTATGAAAATCAAAAACAAACACAGGTAGCAGATAGGAGTCCTGGGCCAGAATGGAAAGAGCTACCCCATATAGTTAGTAAGAGCTACCCCATATAGTTAGTAAGAGCTACCCCGTATAGTTAGTAAGAGCTACCCCATATAGTTAGTAAGAGCTATCCCTTATAGTTAGTAAGAGCTACCCCATATAGTTAGTAAGAACTACCCCACATAGTAAGAACTACCCCATACAGTTAGTAAGAGCTACCCCATATAGTTAGGAAACTGGTGAGAGAGCAGACATTCCTTCCAGAAAACAGGAGTCAACAAAGAAGTCCTAGGCCAGAAGCTGGATGTGGTGATGCCCATCCACAACCCCAGCATTCAGACTAAGGATTGCCCTGAGTTCAAGGCCAGCGATGCCTTTTCAGTGAGACCCTGGCTTCAAATATAAAACAAAACTAACCAATAGACAAAAAAGGAAGAAGGGAAGAAGAGGGAAAAAAACCCCTAGAATCAAAAGATACAATGACTTGAAAGACTCTGAAAGGAGTAACAACAGGTTAGACAGGAGCAGGACTAACAGTAGGTCAATCCAGGATAGGATGCAGATGGAAAAGGAAAGAGAGGAACCTGGCAGATGGACTCTCAATCAAGTTCAAAGTTAATTCCACAGATAATGAGAACCTGGACCTGGACACTCCAATCAGAACCCATCCTAGCTAGATCTCAGAGGACAAGCCTTGGTTAAAGGATTTCCCAGACCAGACAGACGTGTCCGTGGGACTGTCTTGATTGCTAGTTGATGCAGGAGAGTTCCGCCCACTGTGGGCAACACCATCCCCCAGGCAGGGTATCCTGAGACGTGTAAGATCAAACAAGCCCTTTCCTCCCCTAAGCTGGTTTTGGTCAGTGTTTTATCACAGCTGCAGAAGCACAGGACAGGGCTGTGACTGACACTGGTGAATGACAGTTCTGTGTACACCAACGGAAGGCGTGGCCTCTGTCTACATATGAAGAAACAGAAAACCTAACAATGGGGTAAAATAACTGTCTTCTCTTCAAGAAACGTTACAAGTCATATATGACCGAGAGAAACTGAGGAACGGTCCAATTAAGATGACGGCCATGGCGAGTAGTCCATGTATCCAGGAAACAACAGCAAGAAGAAAGGTAATTGAGAAATTCGGTGAAATTAGATAATTTGACTACAGATCAGAGAACTGTGTTATGTCAAAGGAGAAAGGCCTTGACTTCAGGAAATATTACTGAGTAAAGAAATGTCATTTGGGCAATTACTTTCAAATACTAAAAAGTATAAGATACATGACAACACCACACAAAAACTGGGAGGAAAATAATTTATAATTCAAGGCTGTGAATTATAAATTCACACTTTCCCAGCGGTAGAAGTCATCACTGCAGGGACTCTGTATAGTCCAAGAGCACCTGCAACCACCACAATATTAGCGCATGTGGTAAAAGGGTATATAACTAAAACACCCATCATGAGGAGGGGAAATGAAATAGATAGAAAATATATGGGTTAACCCAAAAGTTGCTCAGAAAGGAGAGGGGAGCGACTGGCCGACAATAAGCAACACGATGTTGGTCTTACAAATGAATAGCCCACTATTTATACTAAATGTAAATGGACTACATAGGCCTACTAAAGGGCAAAGACTGCCACATTAGATCCACTTTGAAAATTCCAACTGGTTATAAGAAACTTATCTCAAAAAAAAAAAAAAGAAAGAAAGAAAAGAGAAAAAAAGGAAACTTATCTCAAGTACAAGGAAAGAGAAAAATCAACCGTAATAGGAAAGAGTGTGGGGAGGTGGTTAGAAAAGCACCCACTCAAGGAAAACTGCCACCGCCTCTGTCAAAAGATAGGTTCAGCAGTAAAACTGCCGGAAATAAAGAGGCATTCCACAATGACAGCAGGTTAGCTCAACAAGAGCCACTCACAAAAGCTCAAACTGGTTATTTTCAAACTGTGCTATGGAATTGCCTGGACCTGGTGAGGGCCCCAGCTGCTTCCAAGACAGCCAGCAAGGGCTCGCTTTCAGAGCCAGCCCTCAGAGTCGCTGCTATAACTTAACTGCCTCACTCTTTGAAGGGCAGCTGGGTATAAGTGAACACATCTGGGGCCTGCAACACAGATGCCAAGCTCCTGCTACCAGCTGCAGAACGTTCAGCAGGGGAGCCGAGGCTGCCCGGCTCTCTGCAGACAAGTACATTTGTCTGTGGGTACCTGCAGTCCCAGAAACACTGTTTTCCTGCTGGTGGCACATGGAACTCTCTGTCTTTCCAAAAGGTTGCTCAGAGACCTGGGTCAAAGCCAGTGGCTCTAGATGGGTCTTGGGATAGAGAGGGCTTTTTGCAGGTCTCTAGGGGAAAGAGTCTGAGGGAACCACCTGGCAGTCATTGGAAACAGGAGGAAGGGATAGGGTGGGTAGGACCTGATGGGTCCCTGTGGCTTCTCTACCTGCAAGTGACCAGAAGACTGTATATAAAACCTGTTCCTGAGTGACCATAAAGGCAGAGAAACAGGGTCTGACATAGTACAGGGGCTGTGGGGCTCGGATCACAGACCCTGTACATCTGGATTCGCAGTCCCCCCACCCCCACCCCTGTGACATCAGGGAGAGCTCAGACACAGTGTGCCTAGAACAAGGCTGAGCATGGTCGAGGCTCTAGAATAGCTTGTCTGAGTCCAACTGGGTCAGAGGCAGCACTGGGCCTCTTCATGAAGCCCTCAGGCCAGGCAAGTTACTCACCCGTCCGTTTGTCTCGCCTTTCCACCAGCCCTGGTCCCCGCCAATTCGGCTGTAGATCTTTACCACATCACCTTCCCTCAACGACAGCTCCCGCATGTCCCGTGCAGCGAAGTTGTACCTGGCCACAGCTGTGCCAATGACCCGCGGCGTGAACACTATTGGGGCAGACAGGGTGGGACATCACACAACCGCGGGAGCTGCTCAGTCAGGGCTCAGAGGCCCTTGGACCGAGCTAGGTCTCATCCCCAGTACATAGAGTCTGGCTTTGTGCCCACAGCCAGAAGAAGGTCTCTGGAGGACACACTAGTCTCCAGCTCAGAGCCCTTCAAACCTTGGTGGCTTTGGGTATATGAACACCCGTGCATGCACTAGCAGAGGGTTGGAGCTATCACCACCCATGCTGGGCAGCTATCACAGGCAACAGGCATGTCACTGGTGAACAGAGCAGGCACCCACATCTTGACCACTACAGCCTGTGGTTCCCCCATCCCAGATCTCCAAACTAGACTGGAAACCCCCTGAACTGGTTTGGCCCAGAACCCAGAAAGTCCCGTGGAACAGGTTGACAATGGCAGTGAGTGAGGGGACACACAGCCCACACAGCAGGGCTTTGACTCTGGCAGCAGAACGCATGCTGTACCAAGGCTGACCGCAGCCCCTTCTTCGGCACCCACTCCATTCCCATGGCAGCTGTCAAGGACACAGAGCAGTTGCCAGCTCCGCCCATCCTATTTCCCACAACCAGAGGCAAAGCTCCCAATGGCTGTGAAGGGTAACAGCTGAGGAGGCAGGTAAGTAGCTATCAGCGTGACCAGGAAAGAGCCCTGCCTAAAGTGTCCTCCTGTGCAGCAGCCTTGGTGGCCCTGATTCCCAGCCCCCTCCCCACCCAGCACCAGGCTGCACAACCAGGGGGACCCATCAGGCTGGGCCCTGAGCAGTAGAGGTACCTGACCAGAAGGGAGCGGAGGGGCCCTGAGGGGCAAAGCTGAGGCCCTGAGGACTGAGAAAAGAAAAGTTGTAGGAGGCGCAGGAAGCTGCAAAGAGGCAAGAGAAAGCATAAGACAGAAGGCAGGATGCTGATGGCCGCGGAGCACAGGGGATGCCAGGCTCTACCTCAGGAGGGCACCAGGAAGGGCAGGGGCCTAGCATAGGCACAGCTAGACCACTGCTTGCTCCTCACCTATGTCTTGAAAAGACAAAGGGGGAGGGGTGTGGCTGGAGAGATGGCTCAGTGGTTAAGAGCACTGGCTGCTCTTCCAAAGGACCTGAGTTCAATTCCCAGCAACCACATGGTGGTTCACAACCATCTGTAATGAGATCTGGCGCCCTCCTCTGGCATGTGGGCATACATGGAGGCAGAATGTTGTATACATAATAAATAAATAAATAAATCTTTAAAAAAGAAAAGAAAAGACAATGGGGCCCACTGCCATAGAGGCTGGCAACCCTCTGTCTGCTCTGTCTGGAGTGGGGGAGGGGAGGTCTCAGGGCTCTGCAGTAAGAGACTTGGCTTACTTAAGGCAAAGAGCTCTGAGCTGGAAGCCAAATGCTCTGGCCCTCTTGGTCTGTCCCAAGGTCCAGGTTGTGCCCCTGTCCTCTGCTTTGGAGTCCCCACTTTAGGCAGATAGCTGGCTCGCACATCCCAGGCCCCAGGGCACCCTGGGAGGGATCTGCTCAGATCCCACCCTACTGCTTCTCACTACTGTCAGCTCCAAGCACAGGCATCAGGAGCCAGAGGGGCAGTGCAGGCCCCATCTGCTACACGAAATGGGAAGGGGCATGGGCCAGCAGCAGTGACAGACGAGGGGGGCCGGGTCCACGCTCGGGGATGGGGGCAACAACTCTCAACCCAGATGGACAGGGAGCATCTTGGCCCTGGAAGCGGCCTGGCTGAATAACCCTGGGCCCAGACATTACCTGAGGACCGGCTTGAGGTCCTGGTGGTGGCACGCTCCCGAGACTTGTAGGGGAACTTGAGCGTAGTGTCCAACTGCTTGAAGCTTTCCTTGAGTGAGTGGCACTGGTAATACTCCACCAGCTCCTGCAGGGGGCGCACGCTCACCAATGGCTGGAGAATCAGGAGCCCTCCCACCTCCGGGGCTCCTCAGAGAGCCCCTCACTCCAGCCCAGTCCAGCTAGGATGGTCAGTGCCTCAAAGACTTCTCCCTCAGCTTTAGTGATCCCAAATATTGCTAAAAGAATGCTCTGGAAGGAATGCCAAGGTTGGAGGACAAACCCCTGAGTGAGGGCACACCTGCAGGGTCAATGCCATGAGGACAGTACCAGGGAGAGGACTGGGCAACCATGAATGATGACCACATGAAGAGTGGCATCGTGGCTTTGTAAAAGCCCCATGAACAGTGGCCTGGCTGCCCCGGGAGAGGCACCTAGAGCCTCACCTGACGGTACATGTTGGTTTTGGGTTGAGAATGGGATTTTAGGCACCTTCTGTTTAACTTTGCGTTTTCCCATGGGCCACAGAGGGGAAAGGAAAACTCCAGCGTCCTACCAGAGGACAGTGTTTTTGATTAAAAGAAATCTGGGGCCAGGTGTGGTGGCGCAGGCCTTTAATCCCAGCATTAGGAAGGCAGAGGCAGGCGGATCTTTGAGAGTTTAAGGGCAGCCTGGTCTATATAATGAGTTCTAGACCAGTCAGGGCTACATAGGGAGACCCTTACCTCCAAAAACAAAGAGAAAGAGCTGAGGTTGAGGTTGGGCCCAATTGTAGGGCAATTACCTAAAGTATGTGAGGCCCTGGGCTCCACATTGGTACCGAAAAGGGGATGGAATGGAGGGAAGGAATACCAGAAACATTATCATGTCACTGTAAGGAACACTACGCCTTCCACTTCATTATGGTGGGGCTCAAAGAGGTGGAGAGACTAGGGTTGAGGTTGCTTATAGTCTCCTGTTGGGTGAGAAGCCTCCCTGGGCCTTGGTTTCTGCTCTGTCACATGACCTAGGGAAGGCTTTGGAGTGTCCCGAGTAAGGTACAACATTCTCCCAACTGTCCCAAGGTACACCCGATCAAGTTCCCCTAAATTTTGCCCCCACGCTGCTGAGAATCATCCCTCCCTAGGCAGAGAGAATGGGCCATCGGGGAGCAGAACAGCTGTGGAGTGGAGAGGCATTGTGGCCTCTGCGGCCAGGGGCCGGGGCAGCAGGAGTGCTGGGCACACGTACCAGGAGGCTCTCAAACTTCTTGGCTTCGGTGATGTGGATCCAGTTGTCCTTCTCCACCACCTTGATGTGCTTCACCTCGTCATTGAACCTGGACGGACACACGGACACAGCACAGTGGTTACTGCACACGCACACAGTCCCAGGTCCACTCCAGATCTGTTCCAGGGGGGATCCTGACCCAAACCTCTGTGCCACCTCTGCAGTCACTCCAGGCCAGCCATTTCTCCAGCACTCCATTGGGGCAGATCCGGGACCTAGCCCAGTGCTCTCCCTGAGTGCTTGAAGTCCATACTCCAGAGTCCCCACTACCAACTCACTCCTCTCCTCCCTTCCCACCACCCTCTGCAGGTTTCTGCTGCCTCCAGGCTAGGGTTTTGGCTCACTGACTTTGGACATTGGGAGATCCCCCTTCTCCCTGTAAGCAGCGCACACTGCCCTGATCTCAGTCTCTAACATCCTCCAGGCTGCTCCAGAAGCACAGAGTGCAAGTCCACTATGGCTCAAAGACAGCAGACCCCGCCCTCGTCCATCACTGTCTTTAGTTCAGGTGTTCCCAACATAGAGAACCTGGGGGGGGGCTCTTCTGAAAGTCACCCCAAGCCATGTCAGGCACCATGGCCAAAGACATCACACGGACAGAAAACTGGAGCCAGTATCCCGATGACTGTGGGTGTAGGAAGGCAGTCAGTGAAGCAAGAGAACCCATCTCCCCATCCCGTGTATATCTGTTCAGAAACGGAACATGTAACACGGACTAGGCACCTTGGCCAGGGCTGAGGGCTGGAGAGACATTCCAAGAATGTCTAGGTTGGTTCAATACCCTGCAATCAGCTAGAGCAAAAGCTGACTAATGAGTAATCAAGCTGCCAGGTGGCCAGTCTCCCACTCCACCGGGCCTTTGCAGGCACCTAACTGTGTCACCCTGGACTGAACGTGTGCTGTGAGCCTCATCAATAGGATCCCCACAGTGCTGTCCTGAAGGCCAGGCATACACAAGACACAGTGGACACTCCTATGAGGTGGGTATGACGTCTACCAGGTCATTACGTGGGGTTGGCTATGCATTTCTTAACCCTGTAACACCTAATAACTTGTGCCCCTGGGTGTCCTGTGCTGAGGAAAACGAACTGCCAGGTTTTTTTGTTTTGTTTTGTTTATCTGAGGAAAGATGCCCAGAATAAGGGCCTGTGGTCTAAGCTACAAGGCTGTCATGGTCACTGCTGGAGTTCCCCAAGGGTCCCCAGATGCCACAAAAGAACATGATGGGTACATGCATCCTACCTAAGCCTCCCTGGACAGGCAGCCAGTACATCCCTGGCAACACCTCCTAGTGTCCCACCAGTCCACCTGTGTCTGAAAACGCTCCCTCCTTGACCCACGTGGCCATGGAGTTGTGTCTAGTGTAGCCAGCACATGCAAGGAGTCCCGACGGCTAGCATGTGTTCTCTGCCGCTCCCTCGCCCAAGATTTTCTAGCCTGAACACTGGAGAAGACCCACTCCATCCCCTCAATAACGGGTCGGGGCGGGGGTGGGGGGGAGGACACAGTCCTAGGCTTACTTGATGCTGATGGCGAAGCGCTCAGCCTCGGCTGGACGCTCTCTGATGAGGTAGGTCCCGCTGGGATGAGACTTGAGCAGGTTGTCCGTCTGCTGCCGTTCCATGTTGCCAGCAAACCTGGGGTCGGGAAATCAGAGCTGTGACACATTGCTGAGGAGGTGGTGACCTTGGTGTGTACAGGTCACCTGTCTCGGGCTTTGCTCCTTGTCTGAACTTTATCTTTGAGGTGAGGAGATACACAACTGATGAGGGGTTTGTGGCCATGTCCTGACCAGAGCACAGTGTGGGGAACAGCACCTTAGGTCAAGAATACAAGGATATCTGAGAAAGATGTCACTGGGGAGAGAGACGAATGCGCCACAGCCAGGCAGGGGGACTGTTCGAAGCACAAACTTCTACCAGACCCCATTTTTCTAAATTGTTTTCACTTCTTGAAGTAATGATGTGGCATCTTGGGGAGACACTCTGGAGACGGCCAGCGTCCATACAGAATGAGAGCTGAGCAAAATCAGGCCTTTCCCACCATCAAAAAAAGGTGGTCAGGTTGGTCACCTCAGCAAAGCAATCCCATGCTCCCACAATGTGACACCATGCGCCTAGTGTTCAGCAATGCTGTACAACCAAGGTAGATCTGCGGCTAATAAATCAAATCTCTTGGGGGGTGGGGGAGAGGGGTCACTTTCTTTAGTAGTAGCCACTGAAAGGTTGCCCACACTCTGGTTATAAACTCCGAGGGTGGCACACACTATAAAAGTGGGAGGTGCCAGCTGGGGAGGCGCTGGGGAGCCGAGGAGTGGTGGAGGCAACAGGACTAGAATTCACCAGACACGTCTGAGATTGTCGGAGAATGAAAACATAATTCAGACACCAAAGCAACTGTGGTGGATATTCTTGAGTGTCAGCTCGAGTCACCGTGGGAACAAGTCTCTGATGTCTCAGGGGTGATCTCCATTAAGCTAATTGAGGTGGGAAGCCCCAGGCTCCCTGCGGGTGGGGGACAGTCCCGGGGATGGCTTCTCAGGCTGAATAAAAAGAAAAGCAAGCTGAGCCAGCATTTGCTCATCGCTCTGCTTCCTGATCATGGCTGCTTCCCCATGGCGTACTGTACCCCGGAACTAAATAACCCTTTCCTTCCTTAAGTGGTCGTGCCGGGTAGTTTGCACAGTAAAATGACAAGAAATAAATAAAGACTCCATCGAGGGAAAGCCCCATGATCTCTATGACATCAATCATTCGCTACCTGCAGGGCAGGGCAGGGTGGGCATGCACCCACAGGCCCAGTGGGCTTCCTAGAGAGATGCAATAGGACAGACAACAGTGAGGGGCTAGGAGGGGACAAAGGACCGAATGGGGAATGAGCCCCATCTGGAGTTAGAAGTGTGTGCTGCCATGCGCTGTTATGCGGCTTTGAGGGGTAGTTCTAGGCACTGGACACAGCAGGGACAGAATCAATAGGCCAAGACTCACATGACCTGTGACCATACCCAAACATCCACCTTTATCCTTCCACGTAACCCAGCTTCTCTTCTCACCAAAGGCATGATTACAAACCACAAATACATCACCTCTACAGCTTACATAAAGAAGCCCAGTTAAGCCTGCATAGCAAAGGGCTCGTTACCGCACATATACCGCCTATGGATCCGTTTTAGAGACAGGGAGATAGCCAAGGTAGGACTCAGTTTCCCCCTGCTCACGGGCTTACAGGGCCACACCCTATGGCACAGGGGCCTCCAAATGCCCGAGTCTGCTGCCCACAAACCACTTACCAAGGGTATGCAGTGTAATCAATCTCCCGGGATGGCGGGCGGCCAATAGGTGGCTAGGGACAGAACACAGGTGCATTAATGTCCCCTGGGGCATGCAGTAGAGGGGAAGTTTATGAGAAATTCAACCCTGCGACCGGCAGTCTATGCTGGACCAGAATTTCAGGTGAACTTAGCCCAGCACCCCTGAACTGTCACATCCCAGGGGCCCTTCCAGTTTCCTCTGAGCAGTCGTTCAGGACGTTGACCGAGAGAATGACTGACTTTCCCGGAAGGCGTGAATGAATGAAATGATTGATTTTCACAAGGCCTGAATTAATAAGGAATCAACAGCAAACTTGATTCCTGGGAGGGAAAGGCCGGAGGCCACAGAAATCCCCAACAGTGGACAAGAGGTGACCACACTCAGGAGGTACTGTATCCCCCATCCCTGACCCCTGTCCTCCTCTGCTATGGCTTCCCCAGGTCTATCCAAAGAGTTCTTAGTGTTTAATATTTCCTTCAAGCAGCAGAGGAACCGTAGGTCTGGGGTGAGCGGGGTCGCTTCCTGTCCCAGCTCTTTCAGGGAGAAGGAAGTGTCTCTTTCACTTTCAGCTGTCCTCGAGGGGAGAGGGGTCAGGTTATTCCAGGCCAGCTCCTTGCTGCTTTGGACATCAGAGCCAAGAACAGCCTTGTTTGTTGTTCCTAACAAGATCCAGCTCTCAGGCCTTGTGTCTGGGAAGCTTCCTCTTCTCCCAGCTATGAGGGGGCATAAAGAGCCTTCTCCACAGGGGAGGGCAGTTTCAACTGGGTGGATGCCCACTGTGGCATTAGACTAAGAATAGACCCCTAGGCTCAAAGAGAAGGCAACTATTTGAGAAGGGATAGAAGGTGTGGTCCCGTTGGAGTTAAGTGTGTCATTAGGGATGGGACTAGAGGTTTCAAAAAGCCCACGCCAGGACCCGTGTTTCTGTCTGCTGCAGGATGCAACTCTCAGCTACTGTTCTAGAGCCATGCACGTGACTATGCACCCGCCATGCTCCCCACCATGATGATAATGGGCTAAGCCTCTGAATCTGTAAGCAAGCCCCCAATGAAATGCTTTCTTTCCTAAGAGTTTCCCTGGTCATGGGTCCCTTCACAGCAATAGATTATGACATCCACAGGCCGCTCATGCTCAGCCCCCAAAACTTCAACAGGCAATAGCACCCCTGCCCACCCTGGGATGAACTGCTCTGTCCCAGATGTGGCTTTACTGTGGCCATCCAGCAAGGACAACCTGACTCCTTGGCCCTAGAACTCAGCAGTTTGGACCCTGTGATGGAGAAGCTGCAGGAAAAAAGACTCACCCTTCCATCCACTGGGCAGGGCTTCACGGATGAGCTGGGAAAATACCCTGACTTCCGGGTTTGAACCAGTCGCCCCTGGAGAAAGAAGCAACCAGGAGGCATGAAGGACCCTTGGGTGCCTGTTTCTAGACAGACACAAACCCCAGGCCCGACAAGAGCGTCACCTCCCTGCTGTGACTTAGTCCACCTCATCACCACTTGGAGCAGAGCGGTGAGGACGGTCCCACTTTACAGATAAACAACACAACAGCCAAGTGTTTCTGCAAAACAGCCAAGTGTTTCTGCAAGTCTACCTTAAGAGACACCCAGGGAAGCCGGGCGGTGGTGGTGCACGTCTTTATTCCCAGCACTTGGGAGGCAGAGACAGGTGGATCTTTGTGAGTTCGAGGCCAGTCTGGTCTACAAGAGCTAGTTCCAGGACAGGCTCCAAAGCTACAGAGAAACCCTGTCTCGAAAAAAAACCAAAAAAAAAAAAAAAAAAGAGACACCCAGGGAGGAGGTAGGGAGGAGGATGCAGACCTTGCGTGACGGTTAACTGTCAATTTGACAGAGCCTAGAATCATCTAAGAAGAGTTTCAGTAAGGAACTGACTACATCTGGTCTGCCTTTGTGTGTGTGTGTGTGGGGGGGGGGTTTAAGTGAGGTGAGAAGAGGCAGCCTTAAAGGGGCAGTACCACTTTCTGGGCTGGGTCTTGGTGGAGAAGCTGAGCTAAGCACTGAGCATGCCTTCCTTCTCCCTGCTTTTGACTGTGGATGTGATGTGAGTTTCAAGCTCCTGCTTGACTCCCCTGCAGTGATGGACTGGAACCTGGAGCCATGAGCCAAACAAACCCCTTCTCCCGGATTGCTTTCTGTCGGGGTGTCCCGTCGCAGCTACAGAACGAAACCGTGACACCTGGGATGCAGAGCATCTTTCAGTCTCATGTCACGTGACTGTCTAGTCTGGATCAACAGTCTGGACTCAGCTACTGACGACAGTACAGATATCGCCAACCTTCAAACTCTGTACTCCAAGCTGGCCATGGAGTCTCAGGGTTCCTTAGGTGTTGAGGCTCAAAAGAAAGGGTGCTAAAGATGTAATACACTCCAGCTCAGAACTGTAAACTAGCCCACAAGAATATCAAGGTGGGTACCATGTTTGTCTCGCTCCTACCACACAGGGCCCTGGGACTAATTTCCAACACTGTGAGGGGCTGTCAATCAGAATGGGGCCATTGGAGATGAGGCACAACATGGTTTGGACAGAACCCAGTGGGGGCCTGTAGGGTCCACTGAGGCAGGAAGGACAGAGCAAACAAGAGTCTCTGTGGAAGCACGCCGCACCCCTACCTGTGTAGCATGGCGTCACCCCCAAACCTCCCTGCTTTGGCCTTGGGGGATGGGCAGGGAGAAGCAATGCTGCATGCCTCCCCTCCAGGGCCCAGAACTCACCTCCCACCAAGGAGAATCGGGGTCACCCCGGAGCAGCTCTATCACGTCCCCTGTCTGGAAGGTCAACACTGGCTTCCCCGGAGGGGCTGGGTTACCATGGTAATTCTGCACAGCAACCATCTTGGGACCTATGGATGACAAAGTAGAGGAGGATGACTCACTGGTGACCTTGTACCTGCTGGCAGCTCACCCCATAACAGACCCTTTCTGGTCTGGGGAACCCTATGATGAGACTGCTCCCCAACACAGAGACGCCTCACTACCCCTTTACTCCTGCATCTTTTTTTGATAAACATCCTAAGTAGGTAATCTACTCAATGAAACAGATGCCAGAAGAGTTCAATAACAGACATTTATTTTTAGATGGTGCTTTATGTCACCTCCAGACAGCTCTGAACTGGGATCTGCAGTGTAAAGTTGGGGTGGGGTCCCATGTTAGAGAGGAGGGGCCACAGCACTGGTCAGAGGCAGGCCTGAGAGGCGGCAACGGAGATGGAGGCTGAGCCTCCAAGAGCCTGAGGTTATCCTCAGATGGAGTCCCGTTGTGCCCCAGTCTCACCCCAGATGTTCAAAGATGTCACAGAACTGTCCTGCTGGGCCTGGTCCAGGTCACCATGGCCCAGCACTGGCAACATCTGGGTAGGGATTAAGTTTCCTCTAAGGAAGCTCAGACTTCATCCAGGATGTGAGGCCATCAGGCCCTCCTGTTTTAACAGCCTGGGCAGCCCAAACCAGGGGCAGAGAAAAATGGCAGTGGTCCCTGGACTTCCTGCCCACTCAGGTTCTGGGCCAGCCAGCTTGGCAGCTCTCTGAGCTGGGGTGGAAGGTCCTTGCCTCTCTGCAGGCTGACCCTTTCCCACCCTATCAGAACCTAAGTCAACCTGGGGAGGCAGCCAGAGAGTCCAGGGCAAAGAATGACCGTGCTAGCCGGGTGGTGGTGGTGCACGCCTTTAATCCCAGCACTTGGAAGGCAGAGGCAGGAGGATCTCTGTGAGTTCCAGGCTAACCTGGACTACAGCGCGAGTTCCAGGACAGCCAAGGTTGTTACACAGAGAAACCCTGTCTTGAAATTAAAATGAAAAGAAATAAAGAACAACAACAAAAAAAAAAACGGCCGTGCTAAGCAGCCACCACACGCCCATACAGACTGCAAAGGCGGCTGAGCCCAGCGCACTCACCTGGGGCGGCTCCAGAAGCATCCTGTGAGGACAAGGACAGAGGGTTAGGGAAGGTGCTCCACCCTTAGTCCCGACATCAGCACTACCCACAGGAGGGTCAAGGCAGGAAGCAGGAGAGCAGGGTCATGTCCTAACCTCCAGTGAAGGTCTGCAACACTATTTCCTCTCCCAATATTAGCCATACCCCATCCTGTGCACCCCAACACGGTTACATACCCCCAACTCCCGCCTCCCTTGCAAGCCTCCCTGACTATCCTCCAGCATCTGTTCTGGACACACCTTTGGAAAAACAATCAAGTGCTATGTGATGGAGCCAGCTCCATCCCCTTGCAGTGCCTGGATAACAGGGCTGGACTCTACAGCTTGCCGGAGACATGGTTCCTGCGCTATAATGACTTTGGTGACCTGTCCCTGTGGGCAAGCATGCTGTGTTGCAGAGGTGCAGCTACAGCTGGAGATCCCTAGGGAGTTAGAGCGGGTGTGCTGCTAGGAGACACCCCAGCTATCAGGCCTCCAGGAGGGAGCGGACAGACACACTTCTGTGCTGGGACAGACACTCTTCCGTGCTGGCACAGCCCCAAAGAGTGAGTAGAGTTGGGAGCACTCACCGAGTCTGCAGAAGAACCTGCAAAGGAAGCAGAGCAGGGATCAAAGTGGAAGTCTCGACAGAAAGGTGGCCTCCGCAGTGAACGCTCACAGCACAGGAGCAGCTGGCTAAACTGCAAGGGGCTCCCTTCAGAGCCCAATCACAGAGCGCACAGAGACTCGTCCTCACACCCATGAAGGTCACCTTGACAGCAAGCTCTGAGTTCTAGCTCTAGGGAGCCATAGGGAACTCAGACTAGAAGTCATACCTGAGATAGCCTAGGCTTTTCTGCCTGGGCCAACTCTGAATGGTGGCAACTGGGCTCAGGGGGTAATTTCTTATTTATTTATCTATTTATTTTTTTGTACAGTGTTCTGTCTGTGTGTATCCCTGCAGGTCAAAGAGGGTGCCAGATCTCATTACAGATGGTTGTGAGCCACCATGTGGTTGCTGGGAATTGAACTCAGGACCTCTGGAAGAGCAGTCAATGTTCTTAACCTCTGAGCCATCTCTGCAGCCCTCTCAGGGGGCAATTTCTACACCTGGTTGGTGATACCGGCCATAGGTGTGTGATACAAAGGTGGGTGTGCAAAGGCTCCTATAAGACCCTGAAGTCGGACACTGGTCATTCAGTGGTCATGTTAGAGGGAGGACATCACCCAGCCATGGCTAGGCTGGGCTTCTACCTCAGCAGGAGTCAAAACAAGGGTCATGACAGCAAGGGTGTGTGTCTGGTGGGACCTCAATACCCCCAACTATTGTGGCTACAGATTTCTCTGGGAACATTTGACTCTTTCACAGACCCTTGGAACATGACAGTGGGTAGTCATGTCCCACAGGATGGCAGGATTTCCATGGCTCTCAGGAGGGGCTGGCATCTCCCTAGGAGTAGCAAGGCTCCCACACGGGTTACAAAGTCCATCTCCTTTGGTGGTGGTACTCTCATTGCTCACAGGGGAAAGCTGACCTGTTGTGGGATATTTGTACATGGTGCAAAGGTGTATTGTTGTGATTGGTGTAATAAAAAGCTGAACAGTCAATAGCTAGGCAGGAGGTATAGGTGGAACTTCCGGGCAGAGGGAGAGAAATGGGGAAGAAGAATACAGGCGCGGAGGGGATGCCATAGAGACGTAGAACAAGAAAAACATGCAGAATGGGAGAGAGGTAAAAGCCATGTGGTAGGATGTAGATTAATAAAATTATGGGTTAATATAAGTTATAAGAACTAGTGGGACAAGCCTAAGCTAACGGCCAGGACTTCGTAATTAATAAGCCGTTTCCGTGTTGTTATTTGGGAGCTGGCTGGTGGGGCAGGAAATGGCTCGTTAAACTGACCAATGCCAGAGGAGCACTGACCAAAGCAACAGAGCCAATCAGAGGGAAAGCAGCATCCCCCAGCAGAGGAGCGAGGGGACCATGGGTTCCACCCTCAGGGGAGTCACATGGCCTGGAATAGTGTCAGATGCCAGCCAGGGGACGTGATGACAGGATACGGTCTCTGGAAGGACCCCACTGATGCCAGATGGAACAAAAGCCCCGGGAGACTAGGACCTGGCACGCGGGGATGCAAAAGGAAGGAAACGCCCACAGGTCTGCAGGTGCCCGAAGGAACTAGGACTGGGGTTTTCTTTCCTTTTCTTCACACTTCTCTACATTTTAAACTTTTCTAGGCAACAAGTATCTAATAATTAAGAGGTGGGGGAGGGTAACTCTAAAAATGTGTTTTCTAAAAAAGGAAAACTTAAAATGTGAGAAAACATTGCCTTCAGCTCTTTCTAGGGCTTTCGTTTGTTTATGTTGAGACAGGGTCTCATGTAGCCCAGGCCGACCCCAAATTCTCTCTAGAACCAAGGATGTTTTTGTCCTGATTCTCCTGAGGGTACTTTACCAACTGAGCTACACACACACAACCCATGCCTTTATCTTGGTAAGTTCATTAGCCATGTTTCTTTTCTTCTCTTTTGTTGAGAGAGAATTTCACGATGTAGTTTTGGCTGGCCTCTTAGAGATGCGGCTGTCTCTGCCTCCTGAGTGCTGGGATTAAAGGTGTGCACCACCACCACCCGCCCTAGCGTCCCCATTTTTTTCTATAATTAAGTTTGTTAACTTTTAGACTAGAATCACACACACACACACACACACACACACACACACACACACACACAATGTATAATTAGGGCAGTTGCCTTGCATGAGGGGCTTATGGCCACAAGAGGGCGACATTGACAAAGTCAATGCCATTGCCAAGGCTTTTCTAGGGCTGATCTGGAGGTGGAACCTACTAACCCAGAGACCAAGGAGACATGCTCAGTAACAAGACAGTGACCCCCAGGACCCGGTCAAACACAAGAGGATTGGTTTCCACCATGAGGAGGGCAGGTGCAGGGTTGTCCCGCTAGAAGAAAATCCAGGCACTGCTCAGCCCTGGGACTGAGAGCAAGTTAGCCTCCTGTATGTGGTTCCTGTGTTGGCGCAGCCTGATACAACAGTACCTCCCCAGTGAATGGCGAGGATGGGGCTCCCATGTGAAGCACAGAGGATGGAGCCTGGCACTTAGCAGGTGCCACTACCTGTGCAGGGCTGTCACTGGGACATGCTGCCAACATGCCAACTTCCTGCCAGAGGAAGTTTGGGGGTTGGCAAAGAACACTTCTAGCATTACTGAGACCCCAAGACAGATTTCACTCCAGCATCAGAGAAAAATACAACAAATGCCTAAGCTTGCTGCTCCCATCTGGAGCCACTGCTCAGTGAGGCGTGTATTCAGCTGTTCACTAACCAAACTGTGATGGCCAGGACACTCCCGGAGAAAGAACCAGGAGTGAGAGCCAGTTATGATGGGGATTTATGGTGGGAATCCCCACATTCCTGCTGAGAACGTCCTGTGCCTTTTGTGGATGTGGGTCAAAGGGACCATGAACTTACTTCCGGGATGGACCAGAGGTGCAGTAGGTGCAGGGGGAAAAGTCACAAGAGGTTTGGAAAGGAACCACTCCCAGCTATGGCTTTTGATAACCACCCCCCAGCCAAGTAGCTTCACATCTTGGCCTCATTTGACCCCCCCTCCTAAGGCACAGAACTGTCACGGGGGTGAAAGGCAGTGTGATCAAGGGGTCCCTGCGATCGGGGCACTGTCAGTGGGGCACATGCCCATGCACGGGTGGGTACTCACTGATTTTGCAGGGGGGCATCACCTCCAGGCACTCCTTGTGTGCGCCGACGCCACATCTGGTGCACAGGTAACCCTGGTAGAAGGTACCCCTGTGTGGGGGAGGGTGGGAGGTGAGATGGGGGTGCACCTCTCTGCTCCTTCAGCCAGTCATCACCCTGGTCAAAACCTATCAGTCTACCTGGAGATCTGCTTTAGAACATCCACGCCCCCAAAGCACCTGCTATCCCCTGGCACCTCGCTCCACGGTCCCCAGTGGGGGCAAACCCTCTGTTGGACCCAATACTCCAACATCCCTGGTTGCTGACCCCTACTGATTACCTCCCTGGTTCTTGGAGGCATCCTATGGGGCTAAGGAGGGCGATCAGGTGCCATGGTGTCACAGGGCAGCTCAGCAGAGTGCCCTGGAGGCCAGGGAGGCTGTGGGTAGATGGGCAGAAAAGACCCACCTAAGGAACATCCTGCAGGCTTTGCAGTTAGTGGTCTTGTCAAACGTGTACATCTGGAAGCTGTGGTGATTGGCATTGGCTTTGTCCGGCTTGATGTTTGACCTGGTGGAAGGAGAGAGTAGGTACTCCATGCCCAGGCTGCCTGAGCCCATGAATACAAGGACAACCACTTGAGGACCCAGGCTGCACACACCAGCAGCCTGTATTCCAGCCTGGGTCTCCCCACACACGTCAGGGGAAAGGGTAGAAGAGCATGGGGGGTGGGGAGCGGGGCTCTTAACTACACCATGCTGGCCCGAGAGTGCCTGCCGGACGAGGCAGAAGGGTATTGAAAATGGCCCTGGAGAGTCAAACTTAGCTTGCATTGCTGCTCTCCTTGTCCACTGTTTTCCTCTCTGAGGTTTTACCCACAATCCAATGTGGACTGAAAACCTTACATGGAAAATTCCAGAACCAAGCAGCTCATGGGTTTTTGCTCCTGTTGTGAGTAACATGAGAAAATCTCTCTAACCCAGGACATGGGCTATCCTCTGCCACTGCATCCATGCTGTGGGAGCTATCCACCTGTTAGCAGCCACTTGGTGACCGTCTGGTAGCAAATCAACTGTCACAAACACACAGGGCTTGCAGTCACTGTATTCTACTCACCACTGGTCCCTGTGCAAGCACAGTGATTTCATTATAACCGGGTGTATAAGGGTCTAATAACCGGTTCTCCGTTCTTAGCTGTACTGATGTACGCAATGCATCCTACCATAGTTCTGCATACCGACGACATTGTGTACCCATAAGGCTTGGTGCTGCTTTGGTTTCAGGCATTTGGTGGTGATCATGGACTGTGCCCCACGGATGGCAGGGTAAATACACTCAGGTTTACACTTCCCAGTGTAAATGCTTATTTGCACAAACGTGGAACTAATGACTAGCTCATGATCACACCCCAAGACCACATTCACTGCATCCTCTCCACCATCAGACTTGAGAAGGCAGGACAGACAGAGAGACAGACAGACAGACAGACAGACAAGGAGGGAGAGGCGTGCACGAGGAGGGTGCCTGTGTGAATACTTGAGACTGCTTCAATACTTCCCCGCACAATGCTGGGAGAAGAAGCCCAACCCACGGAAACCGAGGGGCAGAGAGTCCCGGGGCTCTCACAGTCTGGACGCAAGCCAGCAGGCAGCCACCGCCCAGGGTACCAGCCTGATGCAGCTGCCTTGACCTCACTCTGGTATCTGTATCTCACCATGTGGGAAGCCTAGGGGAGTGGTATCCTCCCCAGAAGTCCCCAAGTCTGGCTGCTGTAGGGTCAAGCATAATCACCACACCCACCCTTCTGCCCTCCACCTGTTTTCTCTGCTCTGTGTGTTGGGGTGCCCCTTCAACCTCATGGGACACTGTCCTGAGACAGAGTTCTAGGTGTCTCCCTTCACCAGTTACCACCTAGCTGTTAAGCGGGAGGCTCAGCCTCCACAGTGGTGAGGACCATCTAGCAGGAACCTGATGCCACCTGAGACATCTGGGAGACAGAGAGCTAGGGCCTGCCGAGGTGGCTGGTGTCCCACGGGTGTAGTAATAAGGGCGGCGGGGCTGCGTCCCCAGCACCCCAGCTGCCTGGCTAGCTTATGCCCGAAATAACAACACACAAACTCTATTCATTTAATCACTGCTTGGCCCATTTCTATCTAGCGTCTTCTAGGCTAATTCTCACATATTAATTTACCCCATTTCTAATCATCTGTGTAGCACCCCTAGGTGCGCTTACCGGGAAGATTCTAGCCTATGTCCATCCTGGGTCGGAGCTTCATCGCATGCTTCTGCCTGGGAGCTGGGAGCATGGCGTCTCTCTGAGGTGTCTGCTCCCGAGAGGAGAGCTGTGGAGTCTGAGCTCACTTCCTCTTCCTCCCAGCGTTCTGTTCTGTTTACTCCTCCCACCTATCTTCTAACCAATGAGGGCCAAGCAGTTTCTTTTTATTTAACCAATGACCTTCCTCCATCACACGGGGAAGGAGCTTGTCTCAGGCTGAGCATCAGAACCACCTCCCACTACTGCTTGCCTGAGAGGGTCAGCAGGACAGAATCAATAGGCCGGAGGGTCCTGCCCTAAACTCACATGGCCATCTCGAACTGCTCCATCCACTTCCGCTTCATGTCCTCCGTCTTGCAGAAGAACTGGAAGCCTTGCTTTCCTTGGAGGTGAATCAGGTAGAAGCCATAGGACCACTGTAGGGACAGAGGCATGCTGGCAGATGGCATGGCTTTGTGGGGGCAGAAGCATGCCGGCAGCCGGCATGGTTTTGGACACTACCATCTGGTATACACAAGTTCTCTTTCTGGCACTGTATGTGTATGAATGTGCTTAACATGCCTGTGTATAACATGCTCTTATGTAACATACACTCTTGCCTGGTTGTGTGTGTGCATGTGTAGACCCTTCCACATGTGAGAATGTCAGTGCACTGTGCTCTTTCCCGAGCAGGCCAGGGGGTTCTCGTGTATGAACGTACATAGGAACTTGTGCCTGTACATGTGACTGGCCTTGTGATCACGTACACATGTGCCTTCCTGTGTAAACATGCGTGTGTGCACTGTGCCTGTGTGCATACATGTGCATGGCTACTTGTTCCTGTTCCTGGATATGGAAGTGTCCATATAGGGATACCCAAGCCTGTGTATGGGTGTCTATTGCTCCTTTAACATGTGTGTACATCACATATGCATGTGTTTGGACCTGTAGACCATGTTCTGCACATGGACCCTCATGCACAGGTGTGTAGGTAGTGCTGTGTGCACACATATGCATGTATGTATGTGTACAAGAGTCCTGTTGTGCTTATATGCATGTATGTGGGGGCTCTGCTGTGTGCATATGTGAATATGTATCCTGCTGTGTAAACATGTATGCATATGGGCACTACTGTGCCCATGCGTATGTGTGCATGTATGCTGCAACCCTGCTGTGCATGTATGTATATATGCGTGGGTGTGGCAGCCCATGCTCAGGTCCCACCCTCTAGCAGGATAGCCTACCCTTCTCCCACCCCTTCATGGGGCACTTCCACCCAAATCCCTGCTGTCCTAGGGACTCCCCAGGAATCGTTCTCAGGAGCCAACTTACTGCCCTTCCACAGCCCCACCTACTCACTTTCACTTTGGGGGGGTCGGGAACCAATAGGAAAAACAAAGGCTGGGACCAGATGTTTGAGGGTCTGACCAATCTGAGCAACCCAGCAGCTTGCCCCACCCACTGGCCTGGCCAATACTCCAGGCTTAAGAAAGGGGCTTCCAAAGGGCCCAGGTAAAGTGTGGTCTAGTCTAGAAGTGGAGAGATGGAGAGAAACAGAGAGGGGAGGAACATGGGGAAGAAAAAAGGGGGGAAGAGAGGAGGATGGTGCAGAGCAGAGGTCAGGAAGCCTGGCCTGCCAGTGCTCAGTGACCCCTGACCTTCACCTCCCAGGAAGGAGAGCAGGTGGGCTTCCAGGTCACACCTTCTGCAAATCTTTGGCCACAAACATGTGTCACTATCATGATTAAGATGCAAAGGAAGGAGGGGGAGGGAAGAGCCATGGTTTACTCAGGCCCAGGGAGCCCCAAACCCACAAGTTTGGAAGGGCCAGCATCAGACAGCACTGGGGAAGGAGAGGGAGGGGAGCACCAGGGGCTTACCATCTTCCCATGAGACTAGGAAGCATGAAGAGGAAAGGAAAGGGGGAGATAGGTCATTAAGAGGCTCGGCCGGCCCTGGATGTACTGCAGTCTGAGGCGACCGATAGCCCCGGATGTTAAGGCCCCACCTCTGTCAAGCCCTCTGGGCTGTTCTCCCCAAAGCCCCAAGCTTGGAAAGTGGCCCTGGTCACTGCCTCTTGCGTCAGACACCAGGGCTAAGAGAAGCCTGTGCATGGCGGGCCTGCACCCAGTGTGGGGACTCGCAGAAGGTCAGAGCCTTTAGCAGCTGGGCTCCCATCCCTAACCCAGCCCGGGTTATGCACAAAAGGTGCTGTGTTTGGCAGTCTCCGAGAAACAAGACGGAAGCAAGCCAGTCTGCCGTCCATCCCATCCCCTCCCGGCCACAGCCACAACCACAATGCCCATGGCTCCACCCCCTTGTGACCACAGTCCTTCTTCCTGCAGGCCTAGTCCACTGGATTGCAGAGTCTGACAAACCACAAACCAGCCCCCAACAGGCAGAGCAGGAATGGAGGAGGAAAGGCCTGCTTGTTACAAGACACAATGAGGGATTAGAGTCAGGTCCACTAAGGCTAAAAGTCAAGGTTGAGAGCTAGGCTCTTACTGGTACCTAAGTAAGGCTCCTCCCTCTGTCTGGCGTCCTAAGGGTGTCTACCACCCACCACGGGAACCATCTGTCGCAGTCACAGTGGCAAACGGAGGACAGTCTTCCTTCAAGGCTACCTCACACACACAGATGCGGTCTCCCTGGAGTCGGGACGCCATGCTTGCCCTTTCCAGATCTGGACCCACCTTCTTGATGTCCTTGTTGTGCATAGGGTCATCAGTCATCTTGTGGAAGAGTAGCTCGATGACCTCCTTCAGCTCGTAGCTGTAGCCCTTCCTCTTACACACAATGACCACCTTGTCAAACAGGAACAGGTACCTGGCCAGACAGCACATCGAGTGTCAGGACAGCCATGCTGTGTCTGGTATCCCCACCCAACGCCAGCCAGCTGTCCCGGAGGTCACTCAGCGTCAGACCAACAAAACCAAGGCCTGCCCGTGCTGTCTACTCTCCAAGGTGAAGTCCACCCTTCTGCCAGGTCAGCCAGGCACAGTCAGGACTCTACTGTCTCCATAAGGCCTCTCAGTGCCACCTCCATGCAGAAGGTCCGCGACCCTCTATCTTGACCTCCCTTGGAGCACTGTTCAAATGCCACAGCCAATTCTCTCTTCTGTGCCCCCAGGACCCAAATCTGCTGTGACCCCAGCCCTCACAGATACCTGGCTTATTCCGACTTCTCCACCTCCTGCTATCTGCTCCCAGAGGACACTAGGCAGGGAGTGTGCATGGCCTCACGGCCCCTCAGTCAGAGCTCCCTGAAGATTGTGAGCTGGAGGGCAGACCTCTCTACCGCCCACCTTTGACTGTCTCCCAGCCCCGCATTGTGGCCATCACAGGCGGGACAGTCCCTTTGCATGTGGCCTCTGCTGACTGATAATGTCAGGCATACAGAGGCTTGTGTAGGGATTACGTCATTAAACAGAAATACATAAAGCCTGTTGCACCATTATTCCTCCCTCAGGAAGGTCTGGGAGTGGGGTTCCTGAGCCGGAGGGTCAGCTTGGGTTGGGGTCCCACCCTGCTCACCTGTCTTGCTTAGTGTGGTTGACTATGGACCGGACTTTCAGCTCCCCATCAATCTTCGGCCTCCCAAATTCCTCCAGCTTCACTTGCTGGGAAAGGCAATGACCGTTAGCCCGCGGGCAGGTGACCTCTGCTTTACTAGACAGGGAGACAAGTGTGCATGCCCAGGGCAGGAAGGCAAGACCCAAGAAAATGTGCCAATGGTGACTGGGCGGGACGAGGTAGCCCGAGGCCATTATGGGCCTGAGCCAAGCCTATCTCCTCCTAGGGGGCCACAATGGGGACTCCCTTGAGCTCTGGAAACAAAGGGCAATTGATGGCCTGGCCATGATCACAAGTAGCTGCTGTGTAGAAACTGGGGCTGCAGGAAAAGTCAGAGGTCCAGCCCTAAGAAGCTAATAAAGAAAGCAAGCGGTAGCCATAGGCTGGGTTCCGGCCACGGGTTTATCCTCTACAGGAATCAACGCTGTGCCCAGCCCTGCGACCACCTGGCTCTGAAGACTCCATTTCTAGTGCTGCTTGGACTACGCAATCTGTACTGTGTCATCCGAGGAGATCTGCCTCTCTCCGCCATCCTCTGGGTGACAGAGAGGGCAAGTTCCCGCGGGGCATGGCTATGCCTGAGGGGGACCAAATAAGCACAACTCCCCAGTCTCCTGCACTTCCTGAAAGCACCTAGGGCTGGTTTCAGTGTGACACGGGCTGGTCTAGGCATGACACAGGGTGGGGGTCACATCTGCTGGGGGACTCTGCCATGTGTCTTGGTCCCATCAATCAGGACATAAAACTCCAGACGCCTTTACCTGGAGACAGCGCCAAGGCTGCATGCCAGGTAGTAGAGTCATGCCCCGGGAACACCAACATTCACGGACCACTGTTCTTTTTGAGACAAGGCCTGTTGTATCCCAGACTGGCCTGGAAGTTGCTATGTAGTCGGGGACAACTCTGGTCCTTCTGTTTCCCCACCCTTTACCCTCCCCCATTTCCCCACCCTGTGCTGAATTACAGTTAATGTCCCCAAGTCCAGTTTATTAAGGGCCCTGTGCGTGAGAGGCAAGCACCCTGCCAGCTAAACCGTACCCGCAATCCTCTCCTCATTTAAGGAATGAACACCAATCACGCTCCCCTGTGTACAAAGCAGCTGTCACTGTGTGGGGGCTAGAAAGCAAGGATGAGCAGTGAGGGGCCTGGACCCCACAAATGCTCATGCCTTAGGCCACACCCATGCTGGGAGATGCACAGGGACATCAGGGGGGAATCAGAACACTGCTTGGCAATTTCCGCCACTCTCTGGCTGGCGGTATGGCCTGGATGTCTCCTGATGAACCTGGCCCGCAGAGGGCTCCTCTGTAGGTGAAGACGGGCATGCCAATCAAGATACCATGGTTCCCCACGCTCATGAGGGTGAAAAGTCACCAGGAAATGTTTATGACAAAACCATGGTTCTGTGTCAAGGTGACTCTGGGTATTGAACAGCATTGGAGGTTCAGTCATCACTTGGAGCCAAGGGTGCTACTGCAAGGGGCAAGGACAGGCTTAGGTTCTCCTAATGCAGAAGACTGTAGCATAGAGAGCTAGATCCAACACGGGCCAAGGAGGCTTGAGTCCCAAAGCAGTTCATCACTTCTCCGCAGGCAACCTCTAGCTTTTTGTTTTTTGAGACAGGGTTTCTCAGTTTAGTGTTGACTGTCCCGGAATTCTCTCTGTAGACCAGGCTGGCCTCGAACTCACAGAGATCTGCCTGCCTCTGCCTCCCGAGTACTGGGATTAAAGATGTGTGCTTCACCACCGCCCGGCCCCAGTCAGCCTCTGAAGGACTGGGCTAGAGAGTGCCAGCCTTGCCTGGAGCTCCCGGAGGAGGGGAGATGACTGCTGTCCCACTCCCAAACCAAACCCTGTCTATGGTCCACCTGAGGATAGGGAGACTGATAGGGGGAAGGGTGGATCACAGATCGGGCAAAGCCTCCTGTCTCAGGCAGCCGCAGCCACGCCAGGCTTCACAGGCGGTCGCTATGGTGAGCGTAGGTGGAGGGGCCACCTGCTTACCAGGTTTTCTATGGAACACTGGAACTCACTGATCTTCTTCAAGGTCTCTTTGTCCCGTTTCACTTCGTTGATGTACATGGCCAAGTCCTGGAAATTAAGACAGGGTCAGTGAACTCCAAGCCCCTGCCCTGCCCAGTTGGCCATTTCATATCCCTTCCTCCATCTTGCCTGGGCAGCTGAAACTCCAGGCCATGGGAATAAGAAGCACCACACACAGGTGTCAAAGGAGGAAACCAAAACTGAGAATATAACATTTGGACCCCGGACTGCAGACCACACTGGTGAGGGTGCTAGCAGCCCCCAATCCAGCCTCCTGACAAAACTTTTTTCTCACTCAACAGGCCTTCTAAGTCAGAATGGAGAAGCAACCCAGCATGACTAGGCCACAGTGGGTCATACAGCCACTGTCTAGACCTACACAACTCTCTGCTCTTACGAAACCCCAGCCTCACCTCTCCTGGAGAGTCTGGGTATTCTGTAAGGGGCCTGGGAGAACAGGGTCCCTATATGATGCTGCAATCCTCCAGTTGGCCACCAGGGGGAAGTGCTCACTTTGTTTCAGAAAGTTTGCAATGGCCTGGAAACCATGCCCAGTGATGGCTGGGACAGTACAGTAATGATCCTGCCCAGAAAGCAAAGCAGAGAGGAAATCCCCAAAACACAGGAGCCTGGCCCATATCCTGGAGCCAGTTCCTACCTCCTGCATGGCCTCGCATGCTTCTGGGGGTCACTTCAAAGGCCACACCCCAAGCCTCACTGAACCTGGCAGGGCTGAAGCTCCCTCCTGTACAACACCGTAGGCATTTTTGTAAAGGATGGATTTTATTCTGAATCAACAGCGGGGACAGAATCTGAGCATGCGTGGCCCTGTGCACACCTGGCTGGATCCACAGAAGTGCCTGTCTGGGATGGAGATTCCAGCAGAGACAGATATTAGAGCCCCAGAGGCAGGGCGGCCAACGAGCAAAGGACATAGCCTTGCAGTAAGGGTGCATTGCCACCCTGTAGGAAACCCAGCTCCGGGGCAGTGACAGCTCAGACACTGGCTGAATGAGGATTTTCTGCCTGACACTGGGGACATAAAGGCTTTTAGATTCCCTGTATTGGTTTTTATAGAGGACATGTTAATTGAATAATTGCCTCAATCACACTGTCTTGGGGGGTCACATCTGTGGGAGATTGTCTTGATTGATGACTGAGGTGAGATTGCACAGCCCACTGTGGGCAGCACCATCCCTAGGCAGGTGGGCTACATAAGGCTAGCGAAGCAATCCAGAGGGAGTCAGTAAGCAGCCTTCCTCCTGTGGTGTCTGCTCCACGTTCCTGCTAGAGTTCTGCCCCTGACTTCCCTTCATGATGAACTGTGACCTGGAAATGTAATCTAAAATAAACCCTTTCTTCCCCTAAGTTGCTATTTATCACAGCAGCAGAGAGCAAACCAGGACACCTCCCAAACACTGAAGTCGTAAGAGCTGACTCAATGACATGGAGAACACAGAAGTCACATGTTCTCTGTGGAATGCCAGGGGCTGCACTCAGGGTTCCTGAGTTGTGGGCTGGCAACTGAACAATGGAGGGATGGAACGTGTGGTCAGGCTGGGGCTCAGGGTGCACCTGCAGCCACGGATTACGTGTCCCAGGAATGAGTAACTGACATGGTCCCTCTGCTGCCGTGGCAGGTGACCTCGGTTCCCCAGGGGAGCCAGCAAAAGATCCCTGCATCTGTCATGACCCCCATGCTCAAGTACACCCCAAACTGGCACCGACTTCTGCAGCTGCATGAGGCCTGCTCACTGAGAGCTCCGGGCAGCTGGAGATACAGCATCCTCCTCGCTGAGCCGGGCAGCTGCGTGAGAGACAGGCTGCAGCTTCTCCCTCTTCAAATGAGGGAGAGGAAGAGCTCCAGGGCCCAGAGGATTCCTCAGGGACAGGTATCAGATGTCAAGGCTGCAACTAACTTGCTTCTACCACACAGAGGGACCTAGCCTGTGTGGGGCGTTGTAGCTGGCCTCGGACACAAGTGACCATGAGAGGCACAGGTACGGCTGGGGGTAGCCTGACAGTCTCTGGACTAAGGGGTCTAGAAGGTGACTTTCTTGGGCAGTGTCAAGTTGATGGCAAGGATGGATGAGTGGGATATGGACAGGTTAACGAGGAAGGGGACATGGCCTGAGCAGATCCCTTGGGGGCTGGAAAGAATAGAGCATGCCTGGGAACCTGGGGATTTCCTGTTACCCACATCTTCAATGACCCTGTGATGTGAAAGTCGTAAGAACAAGGGGAAGGGTTAGGCCTGATTCAGAAAGCAACAGGAGCCACAAAGGTTTCTGAGCAGGACAGTGATGTGTGCCGAGCTTCAGAGGGCAGCAAGGTGTCAAAACAAGACAGACAATGGAGGAATGGCGTCCCTGAAGCCAGTACGTGGAAAGGAACCTTCAAGAAAGTGGCAGAAGAACAGGGCACAGAACAAATCTTCAGCAGGAGAAGCCACAGAGGAAAGGAGGGAACTCCAGGAATAGAGCTGGCTCCTGAAAACCACTGCAGGCCCCAGGGGACACACAGGAGTTGGAGACAGGGGCAACTACTGGCAAGAGAAGCTGGGGACTTTGGACGCATGGAAAAAGCACCTAGCCTGTAGCTTCCTCCACTATCACGTGACTCTCACCCCACCCCTAGTGTCCTGCCTCTGTTTCCACGGGCGAATAAATGTTCCCCATTGCCAAGGAGCTCAGTCTGGAGCCAGGAACATAGACACACTGATCTGAGTGCTTCCCAGCTCTGCCTCAATTTACCGACCTGCATGGCTTCCAACGCTTCTTTCAGCTGCTGTCTTTCTGGCCGGTCAGCAGAATGGCTCAGGAGTTCCTAGGGGAGTGAGAGGAGACCCAAGGTCAGTCCTCAGGATTCCAGCCCTGCCCGTCCCTATCCCTACCCAGTGCAAGGTGTGCACACAGCAAGATACTCAGGACAAAAATCACCCACTAGCATGGATGAAGGTCAATCTGTCCAACTCCAGCAGACATGGGGACCCCTGACACAGTGGACACCTCTGCCAGGAAGACTCAAGCAACCAAACACTGAAGCTCTCGTGCTCCTGGTCTGAGGGTGTCTTCCATCTCTTCCCACTTTCCTGGCCCTTCTGACTTGTTCTAGTCATAATTATCCTTCCGGGTGCCTTGATACCCTGCCGTGGTGTGTACTGAGTAGAGTCCTTCACCAGCCATGATACCCTTTCATGGTGTGCACTGAGCAGAGAGTCCTTCATCAGCCATGATACCCTGTCGTGGTGTGTATGAGCAGAGTCCTTCATCGGCCTCTGTTTCACCCTGTCTAAGGGCCAAAGCCCATGCCACCAGGCCCATGTGACACTGGACACAGCGAGCAGCCTGATGGCCTCACCTTGAGCAGCAGGTGATACTTGAGCACCCGTTGCATGGGCACCACCAGCAGATCTTGCAGCTTGAACTTGCCGTCCTGGACCTTGAGCGTGCACTCCTGGTATGGGAGAGCAGTGAGTGGGTGAGGGGTACCCTCGCTGGGAGAACCCGTCTCCACCGCCAGCCACATAGAGAAAGCGCCCTCAGCCCTGGATTCTTGGACCTCTAGAATATGCGTCAGATGGGTGTCATAGCATGTGAGCAGGCCATACCATACCACTCCTTATATCCTGACACATGCTGGGACCCTGGTATCTGAGGCACCCCTTTGTCCAACAGAGCCTGGTGGGGCCAGGACTTGTAGAACATGGCCTATATGGACCTGTCATCTGCTCCATGAGAAGCCAAGTTGGGGTGGGGTGGGGGGCTCACACAAAGCTGTGAGATCACTTAGGGTCCCCTGGGATGCCTGGACAGGAGGAACAAGCATTGCATGCCACCAGCACTCAAGCTGGAGCTCTGAAGACGGAGCTTTCCAGACCACACAGGATAGCGACACTGGGGTGAGGAAGAGCCACTCAAGGGAGAAAGAAACTGGTAAAGGCAGATAAACTGGGGCGAGGGAAGGAGGCCCAATGTATCAAGCAAATCACCTAGGTCCCATCAAAGACCCTGGGATCAGCAGAGGCTAGGGTCAAGTGTCACTCATTGAGACAGACTTGTCCAGGCCTCCACAGCCCATAAGGCTCAGGTTGTGTTCTAGCTTGGTCCATGTATTCTGGAAGTCACCAAACAAAGTGGGGGGGGGGGGGGCACAAAGCCAAAGATGGCTATTGAGGGAAGCTGGTGTGTTTCTTGGGCCTGAGCAGCCAGCTGTGCCAGGCCAGGGTACTGGGATGCCCTGTTACCTCTACTTTCAGCCTGAAGTCCTCCCGGCTGGCAAGAAGCTGGTTCAGCGTGCTCTGAGCATGCTCCATGTGGCTGCAGTACTCTCCGTAGATCAGGAGCCTGGGGAGGGGACAGCAACATGTAAATGGTGCCACACACACGGGCACAGATCAAGTAAGATACCTGCAGCTGCTAGGAGCCTGAACACACGTGCACCATGCATGTCTAAGGTACTTGCAGCTGCAATGCCCTGACTCCCTCCCAGGCAGGTTGGAGAGCCTCACATGGCTCTGCCCCCTCGGCCCCTTCTATTTTCTCCTCATTCTCTACATGACCAGGTTAGGAGAAGGAGTCCCAAAAACATTAGCCAAGGGCACCTCCTGCAAGCCTACTTCAAGCCATGACCCATGGTTCTACCTCCATTCTGGAGAGAAATGCCTCCTGGGGCTTTCAGCTTGCCTCCAAGGCTAGCATGGGGGCTGTTCATTGCTCAAGCGCATCCTTGAGGCCATGTAAAATGGAGGTGGCCACTGGTGCTTCTGCAGGGAGGTCAGCGGCTGCATTCAGAAGAGATGCAAGGCCTGTGCCCAGGCAGAAGCAACAGAGTCCAGCAGCCCTAGCCAGCCCTTTTCGTCTTCTGCTGTCCCCTGCTCCCCTCCTTGCCATGCCCCACCATGTCACCATCTCCCCATGCCATTTAGATGATCTTTTTCCTCCATATATTGTTCCCTTCTTTGTCCCCATCTGGGCCCATATATTATCTCAGGGGTGACATCTCTGTAGCTCAGAACCCCTGAACTTTCAGGAAAAGAGGGCAGCTACCCGGCAACTCCCTCCCCAGGTCCTCATGCCCTGACCAAACAGGAGACGGTAAGAGGAGACTATGCCAGGTGACAATGTTACCAAGGAATAGCAGGATGGCGGCCACCCCCCCCCACACACACACACTAGACCACCACTCCCTCAATGACAGTGCTACAGGTCCATTCTTCAAGCAGTCACTCAAGGTTACTGAAGCCCTAGTGAACCACCTGTGACAGCAGCTGAGGCCAGTCTAGCAGAGTCATACAGGGGCTTACTGGGGGAGGCTGGGCTTACTCTTGGTGTTCCAGACCCACCCTATCCCATCCCAGCATATATCAGGGAGTACTGTGTCAAGGACCCCTGGATTCTCCCTAGTCTGGTTCTAATGACCATGCAACAGTCACTGTCCACTGGGACTCTTATTCCTCTTAGGCAGCAGGCACGGGGCTGAGGCAGCTGGCTAGACTTCTTGCAGGAGCCACTCGGGAAGAAGCAATTGATGTGGCTCCTGGGGTGACCAGGCTCTGCCACATGGGCAGCTCTAGGCAAGTCTCTTGTCCCTAGTGTGCTGGTTAGAATGAGCATGCCCCCCCCCCAAACCCATAGGCTGATAGGCTTGACTACTTGGTCCCCAGGTGGTGGAACTGTTTGGGAAGGATGAGGTAAGTGTGGCCTTGTTGTGTTGGGGAAAATGTGTCACTAGGGGTGAGCTTTGTGTCCTGGTGTTCGCTCTACCTCTTACTGGAGGGTTTAGATGTGAGTTAGTGGCTGCTACTGCCACCATGATGTTGCTCCACCACTGCTATAGTTTGGGTAAGGATGACACTCATAGGCTCATATATTTGTAGCCTTGGTCATCAGAGGGTGTCATTAATTGAGAAGGATTAGGAGGTGTGGCCTTGGAGGAAGTGAGTCACTGGGGGTGGGCTTTGAGGTAGGCCAGGCCCAGTGGCTCTTCCTATTGCCTGCGGATCCAGAAATAGAACTCTCCACTATTTCTCCAGCACCAGGTCAGCCTGCATGCCACCGTGCTCCCTGCCATAATGATAATGGACTAAACTTCTGATAAGTTTACATGCTTCAATAAGCTCTAATTACGTGCTTTATTTTATAGGAGTTACCTTGGTCACAGTGTCTCTTCACGGCAACAGAATAGTGAACAAGACATGGTGAACTCTAACCCTCTGGGAAACACAAGTCCAATTCAACACTTTCTTTGCTGGCTTGACAAGTATGACTGTGGCAGGGCTCCACCCAAAGAACACCAAAAGGCTTTTGGTGCTACCTATCCCAACAGATGCATGCCTGCAGTCCCAGCAGAAGCAGGAGAAAAGCTGCAGGCTTCGAAGGGGGTTGGGATGAATGTAGCTCAGAGGTTGAGAGCTTGCTTAGCACATGTAAGGGGTGGGGGAGTGAGTCTCATCCTGTTTTGGGACAATGGTCTCATACCCTGTAAAGATTTGTCACTTGTATTGGCTCAATAAAATGCTGATTGGCCAGTAGTTATAGGTTGGTGACCAGAATAGGAGAATTCTGGGAAGAGGAAAGGCTGAGTCTGTAGTTGTCACCCAGGCGCAGAGGACGCAAGATGAGAATGCCTCACTGATAAAAGGTCCCAAGCCACATGGCTGACACAGACAAGAGTTATGGGTTAATGTAAGTTATAAGAGTTAATAAGAAGCCTGAGCTAATAGGCCAACCAGTTTATAATTAAAGTAGGCCTCTGTGTGTTTCTTTGGGACTGAAGGGCTGTGGGACTGAACAGGACAGAAATCCTGTGTCTCGTACAGTGTGCATAGCCCTGTGCTGTCACCTTGAGGGGCTCCACCCATTCTATTGCCTATGCTCAGTTCAGGAATCACCACACCCTTCTACTCTGATGTTGAAACCTTAGATACAGCAATCAGGGGCTTTCCTGCAGACTCTCCTCTGACCCTCTGTCCATGCACAGACTCTAAGACAGTCTTACTGTTCCTCAAAACTAAACAAATGGCTCATTCTGAGAGAGACAGAGGAAGTTGGCTATGGAAGTAAGAGTGAACAGGCCTGCATCATAACCAGCAGCACTTAGTACTACTAAGAAAAATATCAGCCCTGGAGAGGTGGCTCAGAGGTCAAGAATATTTCCAGGTCTTTGCAGAGGGCTTGTTTTTGGTTCCTGACACCCATATTGGGTGGCTTATAACCACTTATAACTCCAGCTCCAGGGGGATCTGATGCCCTCTTCTGGCCTCCATGGGCACCTGCACTCTTGAGTACACACACATAATTAAAAACAAGTGGGGGGAACGCCTACAACTTGGAAATAAGGCCACAGAGGCACACACTTAACCTCGTACATATCAGACAATACCAGTTCATCCTGAAATACAAGCCTTGGTATACCTCTATCTGATCACTGTCTCCTAAGGAAACTGAGACGTTGGGGGCCATGATGATGATGGCGATGACAATGAATGACTCGCCTTCACAGAAGAAACCCTTCAAAGCTTTGGCGTTGTAGCCTTGGAAGGTACGGGTCTCTCTTGTGATGCTGAGGACATGGGCTTCCACCTCTGCTCTATATCAGCTTCAGCCTCCCTCCCATGTCTGCTGGAGAGCTAAACAGAATGGCTACAACCAGGGCATTTGCAAGGAGGTATAGCTGCTGCACCTCTGGACACCAAGTTCTGATCCCACCGAAGAGTGGGCACTTCTTCCCAAACAGCCTGTGATCCGCTATTTCTGACCTGCAGCACCCGAGAGTCGGAAATGGAGTAGAACAGGTCAAGGAACTCAGGCTGCCATGTCTCATTACAAACTTCAACCACCATGATCCCAACGAGCCAGAGAGGCAGAGAGAGTTGCAGGGACCCTACAAGTTCCTGCTATCTAAATGAGGCTTTGGAGGTACTCAGCCCTCCAAGTTGTGATGGAGAAACAGTGGGCAGTGACCCTTGTTACAAAGAGGAACAAAGATCCAGAGATAAGCGGCCACCTGCCTGGGTCCCCAGAATGGGAGGATACACCCCAGTGAACTGCCCTGCCTCTGTCATCCTGCCTGGGCTGAAGGAGAGTGGTCCACATAGTCTCCAGAGCCTTGAAGACAGAGCTGAGGCTCGGATGCAGTCAGCTGTCACTCACCTTTCCTTGAACTCCAGGAAGACCTTGGCCAGGGTACTGCCGCCAGCCATCATGGACACGTCAATGGCCCGCAGAAAGCTGTGGTGCACCTTGATGAGGTCCTAGGGGGAAAGCAGGGTCAGTGCACAGCCAGGCACAGCCAGGCACAGCCAGGCACAGCCAGCCTCCGCTGATCACACACCACCACCTTGCCGATGTTCACCCAAGCCTGTGAATGCCAGCGTCACTCAGCTGGAAGTTTCTGGCAGCGTGTCTAACTTTTTGACATTGCTGCCCAGTGCCATCAGCAGATCTGGCACTCAAGAACCAAACGATTTAATTACAAAAATATAAAACTGCAAGAGAAGTCTCATAATGTTTTAGGTAAACTTAAAATTTAGTGTTAAGGCTGCATTCAAAGCCGTCCTGGGCCAAAGGTTCTGCCCTTCCCCAAGCCAAAGATTGGATACCCCTGTCACAGTGCCTGGCACACAAAGATGCTGGAACACATTCCAGCTGTGCAGTGGAGGGAGCTTTTCAGCCCCGAATTGGGTCCTAGGGGCACACGGGAACTGCCTCAGGCCAGACTCGATGCCTAAAGAGGATGGAGAAAGCAGCGCGGCTGCTCTCAGCTAACAACCTTGCAGCCTCCCTGCTGCTGGAAAGACTGGAGAAGCCTGCAGCTGCTCAGCTCTCAGTTTCTGCAAGCCATAACACCCCTACTGTGTCACCTTGGCCTGGAGGAAATATGGTTTCTCAAGCTTCACAGAGGATACAGGGCAGTGCACAGCACACTAGCCACCCCTCTCCCCTCCCAGCTTCTTTTCTGTCCCAAGTCATTAGTCCTGGTTGGAGCCCAGACAGTAAAAGGGACACTCTGGTCAATCTTGTGCGTGAGAATAAGATTCTCTGAGATACCCCAACCCGTCCTTGATCTGACGGAAGATGGTAAAGCAGCATGTTCTGGAGTGCGTCCACTCATGTGTGGCATCTGGAGTTGTAAGCCAGCTGCCTCCACAGGTTAACCTTCACACAGTGTCATCTGGTGCCCATGTGTGGTCAGATGCCCGCAGAGCAGGTGTGGGGCACACTTCCCTCCATGCTAACCAGAAGCCTTGCTTATAGTCCCGTGGGTCTCACATTCCTTCCAGAGCAGTGCGAATCTATGCTCAGCTGACAACTAACAAAGATCATGGGAAGCTCTCAGGCCACACCAGATCCCTCTTCTTCTGCCTCCTGAAGCCACAGTCTCCAGAGCGAGACAGCTGCATGTGTGTCAGGAAAATGCCAGAGAGCATACCTCCAGGTTGATGAAGATGGCAGCCATGTCCGCCGGGCTCAGCACTAGCCGCAGGGGGCCCATGTAGTTCTGGAAGGAAGAAGTTTACACTGTCACACAGTGTGTAAGGGGCTTGTAACAATCAAAGCCAAAGCTGCCAGGCACTGGCAGGTGCCCGGTGCTCACTGGACAGCTCATGAAGAGAGCAGTATGGGACTGTACAGTGGGCAAGGCAGCTGAAACCAAGACCACAGCCCATGTCTTCAGCACAGCTCCGTGGAAGCCACGGTAAGGGCAGCCTGGGCCAAAAGGCAGTGAACCCCAGGACCCTTGGCTGGAGGCTTCACTTGCCACTCTGGCCACACTGGGCCAGCTCCACACCAGAGAACAGTCAGGAGGATTTGAGCCTGGCAATGGTGCTGTTGTTTACACAGGGACACAGGTGTGTCAGGAAGATTCGGAAGCCAGGCCTTCTGGGTGGTGATGGAGGCTAGGCAGATGGGTATAGGTCACTGGCAGTACTCTGGCTTGGGTAGCATCTAGTCACGAGGCTCACCAATCACATCAAATGTGCTACATTCTTGGCCACCAACAAAGGCACCAGTACGCCCCACAGGGCAAGGAGAGGCTTAGAGAACTTAGCTCAAGATCTGGCCCCACATGTTCAAAAGCTGAGCTGCCACCACGGCTGGCTTGGATGGGAACTCTGAGAAGACATGCAGGAGAGGTTAGAGGGCTTTCCACACAATGAGGGGAGGCTCCTCTGTGTGAGAACAGGACGGCAAGGCGGAGTGTGCTGTGTCAACGTGACACAGTCCAGAGTCACTTGAGAAGCGAGTTTTAATGGAGGGACAGCCCAGCTCGGATGGTCCAGTGGACCTGTCTGTGGGGGGCTGGCTTGCTTACTAATTAATACAGGAGGACCCGGCCCACTGTGAGTAGCACCAGCCTCTGCCCAGGTGGTCCTGAGCTGTGTAAAAAAAGCAGCCTGTGTGGGTCAGCAAACAGTTTTTCTCCATGGTTTCTGTTTGAGTTCCTGCATTGACTTCTGTCAATGGTGTCTGTAATGGCGAAGTTATAACAAACACTCTCCTAAGTTTCTTTGGTCACAACAACAGAGAGAAAACGAGAATAGGCCTGAGCCCCTTCACCCTGGGGCTCCGAGCAAAGCCAAGGTTCACCTTCTCGATGTCCTCCAAGGTGCGGTAGTACTTGGCCTCGGTCTCCTGGATCTCCAGCAAGCAGCAGCTTCTCTTATCATCCTCGGTCATGCCCATTTTCTGGAGGAGACACAAGATGTGAGCCAGGATACTGCTACCTGGACACCCCGGTACCCGCTGCCAGCCACGAGGCCCTGGCTACCTGCACCACACAACAGGATGACACCTTCCCGGTATGGCTACAAGATTACTGAGTGGGTAGTGAGGTCACAGGCCCTTCCCATGATCTGTGGTTGAGGAAACCGAGGCATGTGGATAGGACAGGACTTAATGAGAACATCAAGGAAGGCATGGAAACTTCTAGACTCCTGGGAATCAACGCCTGACTTGGAACCTCAAGTCCTCACCAGACTGGAGGGAAGGCCTCAGGAGAGGAACATATACACATAGGTGAGGTGTGCTCATGGTACCTGTATGAGTGGGTCAGCCCTGTCCAGCAGGTGGCATTGGCCAACCCCTTGGAGACCCACTGGCTTCCCAATACCAAATGCCCCATAGGCCAGACATCCCTGAGAAGCCAGCTGAAGATAACAGTTCATCAGTGAGCCACCTGGGGACATACCTCTACAGAGGGGAGAACAGGGCCTGACTGAGAGACGGCGTGCACAGAGTGGAACAAAGCAGGGATTCGGCCCCAGTCAGGCTGGGGTGGACTTTATAGCAACTTTCTTTGAATTCTCTCAGGGTCGAAGAGCCTGGTCTGTCCCCTCAAACTCTGAAGACATGATACTCAGGTAGGTACCCACCCAGGTATACTCTTGCTGGTCCTAAGAGGCCCCTCTATGCTGTGCCACAGAACTAACCCTCGAGCACTGTGCAACACGGGACCTGATGACATCCATCACTATCTGTGGCTGCATGGGATGGGGCGGGGATGACATCCATGGGGTGGATCTCAACTCGAGACCCTATACAACCCTCTGTGCCTGACAGCGTGTCTCCAAAAACATGGACCTGAGCTTTCTCTATGGCCTCCGTTACCTTCCCAACAGGTGGGAAAGACGGAGCTGGTGGGAGCCCACCTGGCCTGGTCTTACCTGCAACTTACCTGCATATATCTGATCTGAATGCATGGAGGAGCAAACAAGATTGAACCAGTCAGCAGTGTCCACTGTCCTCAAGCATGCTTGGGAAGTGAGGGACACCACTGTTAGCCCACCCCCCACTGTTAGCCCCAATAGCCACGCCACAGCCCTTCCCAGAGCCTGTTGAGGAAAGGTCAGGACATAACATAAGGATGAGAGAGAGAGCCTCCTGGTGGGTCCTCCCATGCCTGGGCTCTGAAAGCAGCACCTGCCTTTATCTTACTTTATAGAAGGAGCATTTTAATTGCCTCCCATTTAGATAGTTTGGTTCAGCTAGTTCCAAACAAAATGAGAAGGTGTTGGGGGAGGGGGGACAACAACGACCCATTGTTTATCTCAGAGGCTCCTCATAGCAATAAATCCAAATCCCATCTGTGGATGGATCGGACAGCTCAAAAGATTCAGCATCAGCGTTGGACATTAGAACACGGGCTGTCCTTCGGGACATGGGCAAGCATGACCTTGCTCGGGATTCTTCAGGACCAGGGACAGTGACAGGCACCTCAAAGAGCTGCAGGAGTCTAAGACAGCCTGAGAGATGGGCATGGGGACCTTTCAACTATGCCCCAGGCTCCTGTGCCTGGGTGCTGACATTTACCCTCAGGGCACCCATTTTGCAGGGACTCTGAAGTGATGAGGCCTTAATCAACCTGGTGGTGCTTCCTAGGCCATGTCAGGTCAGCTCTGGGGAAGCCCCAGTCAGGCTGCCTGCCAGGTTAAAGAGCAGAACCTCTCCCACCTCCTCTGGAGCAGGAGCCCTGAACACGCTGGGAAGGAGAGTGATTATTAGACTCTCAGGAACAAACGTGTATCATCTTCTTAAGGGTGGCGCGAGACGCTGCAAATGTCCCAAGTCTAGCCTTCCATCTTTCCTCCCAAGCTGGGGACACAGCAGGGTGCCATCAGCCTGGGAAAGGCTCTCAAGGCTCTTCAGGGTTCTTCTCTCAGCTTTTTGTTTCTCTGACACCAGCTGGAGGCTCCCACACAGACGGGAGACAGAAATATTGGCTTTTGATAAATTTCCCACTTCTTCGGGAACGCAAACGCGTCAAAAGCCTCCGCAACTGACAAGTGGCACAGTGCCCACCTTTGGAACGTTCAGGGGTCCATGGGAGCTGTGGCCTGCCCCTCCAGAGCCCCCTCTCTGCAGCCCTCCAGGATGGACCCCCCACCTTCCACAGAGCAGCTGTTGGCAATACGCCGGAGCTGGCACAAAACAACGTCCGCAAGATCATTAGCCAAGCTGCGTGGAAATAAATACCCTTCAGCATAAAAGGCATGCAGCTGGCCGACGGCGCCCACACCGGTCTCCCCATTCTCCACACAAAGAGGTACAATGATATGTGTGCTCAGCCGCACTGTGGTAGCCCGAACATGGAGTTTCTATTTAAGGCTCTCTGGAAGGGAAGGACTAAGAACCTTCCAGGGAAAATTTTATAATCACTCTGCTGGAGGGGCTCAACCACAACAGGTCGCATCTAGGGCATCTCAGAGTGTCCCAACAGGGCTGGAAGGACACTGCAAGGGAGCCCAGGGGAGTCGGGAAGCACCTGGGTCTGTACTCAGGCAGCTCCCCAAGGGAGGCTTAGATTCCTTTAGCAAGGGCAGGGTGGGGGCGCTCACCATGGGCTGCTGCACCTCCACCTTGATGATGTCTTCATAGATGTCATCCCCTTCATCTTCACACGGGACACAGTCGTAAATGTCCTCACCCAGGTCATGTTCGCTGCACAGGGAGATGTAGGTGAGCAAGGAATAAAGGTCCAGGCACCTGGACTGGGGGCGGGGGGCTGCAAAGCATTTCCATGGGCACCTGGCAAAGTCACCCACGTCAGCCCACAAAGTGGCATGCCTCAGCTATAATTGGACTGGGCAGAGGCTGCCACAAGGACCTGCTTGTCTTCAAAGACTCTTTCTTCCCCAGCGATGCTCCAACCCTGGGGTGAATACTGGAGAAACACCAGCCAGAGGCCCTGGTGTGAGACACCTTTCTCCACTGGGATCCTCTTTGGTTGGTCAGCAGAAATGTCCAGCTCCTACCCTAGAACAGAGCTTCCATCTTAGCCTGTGCCCAGGATCGCCAAATGCTCTGAGAAGCTTGCCCAAGGTCTCCACCATCATTGTGGCCCCATCATGACCATCAAGGGTACAGGACCTGCATACAGCTGCCTCTCACACATTGTGGACACCAAGCAGGATGGCGGAACGGAGGGAGACATGGAATACGTGGCGTACCTTCTCAAGCCAGAACCCATGAAAGCAAAGACCAACTTAAAACTCCGGGAAGTTTTGATTCTGCTCATAACTCCTTGGCTTTCTCCAAGCTACTCATGACAAGTGATTAACACTGACTGCCAACCTGATGGGTGCCCACATTACGGTTGTACTTTGCACGAGAATAGCTCCAACAGGCTTATTTGAATGTTTGGTCCCTAGGTGGTAGTGCTGATTTGGAGAGGATTAGAGGGTGTGGCCTTACTGGAGGAGGTGTGTCATCACTGGAGGTAGACTTTGAGGTTTCAAAGGCCCCTGCTAAGCCCAGTCAATCTTTCAATCTCTCTCCCTCTCTCTCCATCTCCAACTCATGCAAACTCTCAGCTACTATTCCAGCACCATGCTGTCTGACCTGCTGCCATGTCCTCCACTACGAGAGACATGGACTCACCCTCTGAAACTGTAAGCAAGCCCCCAATCAAACACTTTCTTTTATAAGCCATGGTGTCTCCTCACAGCAACAGAAAACTAAGACCATCGCATAGGAGACAGCTCTGAGCGTGCCTGAGGGAAATCTCCAGACTGGCTCAGCTGAGGTGGGAAGACCCGCCTCAACTGTGGGAAGCATTGTTCAATGGGGTGTGATTCCATTGAATGGTGTACTGAATAATTAACGGGTGTACTGAATAAAAAGGAGAAAGCAAGTTGAGCACCAGCATCCGCCCTCCTCTCTCTGCTTCCTGACTGTGGGTGCAGTGTTTACATCCTAAACCCCAGCAGGAAGCAGAGAGAGTGCACTGAAAATGGCTTTCATGTCTAATGGCTTGGAGAGTTTAAGGAAAAGTCTTTAAACTCCCAAAGCCGGCTTCTAGTGACATATCTCCCAAACACTGCCAGCAACTGGGAACCAAGTATTTAAATGCCCAAGACTGGGGAACATGTATAATTTAAACCACCACAGTTACCTTCTGCAAGAGGGCTCTGCGGCCTCTGCCTGTGTATCTAGGGGGTCCCAGGCACCCCTGGACCTAGTGCAGTTCCCAGACTGCCTTTTCGTCTGTCTTGTAGTTGATGATAAGACATCTGCCCCACACTCCGGCCATCTCATCCTTCACTTTGACCCTCCCCAACCCATGCAGCAGGTCTACTCAGTCAGGCTGCCTGCCATCCCAGGCCCACTGCCTCGGGGAGATAACTGTGTTCTGGGGCTCAGAGGTGTAGACAGCGAGCCCTAAGCTGAGTAGCAGTGAGATCCCACAGACTGAGGCAAAGGTTCAGGAAGGGTGGTGCTTTGGGTATCCCACCTTCTGTCCCAAATCACAAATTCCGGTCAGAGGACAAGGCTAACAAAGAACAAGTCATACCACAACAGGTCCACAGAGAAGTGCCACTGACCCTAGAGCCTTCTGAATACCCACACCAGCACCAATTTTTTTTTATTGTTCTTTGGTTTTTTTCAAGACAGTCTCAACTCTGTAGCCCAGGCTGGCTTAGAACTCACCATGGAGCCCAGGCTAGCCTCAAACTCATGACAATCCTCCTGCCTCACTAGCCTGCTGAGTGCTATGTGGACAGGAATGTGCCACCATGCTCTGCTGAAGTTCTTCTTTTTAATAACTTTTAATTATTATTGTGTATGTGACCACATGGTGGGGAGGTGTGTGTGGTCACATCAGATCCTTCGTGGATTCCATTCTCTCTCTACACCTTTATTTGAACTCCAGAGACATAACTGAAGTGCCAGGCTTGCATCTCACTGACCCATCAATTTAAGTTTTAAAAAGCCACTTGTTCTTTTCAGGTCCAGAAAAATCCTTAGTAGAGGTAGCCATTTTGCACATTAAATAATACACCTGTGCTCTGTGCTTGCATGCAAACATGTGCATGCACACACATACATACACACACATACATACATACACACACACACACACATACACACACTGTGGCCTCAGCCCCGACTCTTCCTGACTCTTCTCCCTGCCTGTAGGCGGGGGGGCATCATCAAATGGGGTGCAGACCCGGGTTGCACATCACCTCCTGCCATGCAGGGCTCACACTTAGAGTTCCGGCCCATCTCACAATGTCTGTGGTCTTTCCTGCTGACCCATCAGTGGGTCTGTCTGTCTGTCTTTTGGAAACTGTCACCAGAGATAACATGAATCATTTCCCCTGACTCTCCGGGCTCTGAGCCAGATTTTGACCCTGCCACTCTACCCTCCAGATTCCTGGGCCAGGTGAAGGTTTCGAGGTCCTTTCTGGCAGATATTAGTCAGCCAGACTTCTGTTATGCAGCAGAGCGAGGCTGGAGGCTGAGATGCTGTCTACAGTTCCGACCACGTGGAACTGAGGGAAACAGATGCTCCAGGCTTCAGGAGCACACAGCTCCTGGCAGATGAGACACCTCCCTATCTAGAGACAGACACAGGCTTCGCTCCAACGGGCTAGGGGAAGGAAGTGATGGACAGGGAGTTTGGATGGTGACATATTCCACAAGGCAGTGAAAGGGGTCAAATGGGTGGAAGTTGAGCCACAGGGACTTGCATGCTGGCAATCAGCCAGCACTGGAGACCCCACTTTTTCCTCACCTTACCTTGTAAGGATATCCAAGACAATTCCAGATCACCTAGCTGGGTTCCTTCCCAATAAGGACCTACCTTACCTGTCTTACCTGCCTTACCTGCACAGACCCTACCTCAGGCTGACTGGAACCAGTTCTTGAGGTATGACTCTTAGCTGCTCTCAGGGTCTGGCTCTAACTTTCACTTGAAGATGGGATGGCTGGATGGGTCATGGCTCTACTGTGATCTCTAGGGCCCTGCTCTGATTCACAGTGAAGCGTGCATTCGTGTTCCACACACTCTACGGAACTCAGCTCGGAAGCCTTGGCCAGACGTGCATACAAAGGAGCAAACACATATGCTAAACTTGGGTAGGAGGGGTCAGCCCCACGGTCGTCCAACAAGGCAGTGGGTTTGTGAGGAGGTCCCACTGTGGTTTCCCATGAGCTTGTGGGTTCTAGCCTAGGTGGCTCCTCGCTAGATCAGCTCTCAGCACTCTTCACCCCAGCTGACTCCATACCCGCTACACACACCTGCACCGGCCTCATGTGTGATGCCAGGCGGTGGATTTTCAGTGTCTTTGGTAAGGTTCATAAACCAGAAATGTGTCTTGGCCGACCCACTCTGACAAAAGGAACTGTCCAACACTTAGTCCAAAGCATTCCAAGCCTTATCAATGATGATCATGAAAACAATGGATGCCCTCTCCACTTCCCTGCTCTCAACCTCCCTCCTGGCTGATCCTCAACAGACCACCTTCCCTGCTGAGAAGTCCACAGCATAGACAGCTCTTCCCTTTGGCATCTTGTTTCTTCTTTTTATTCATTCTTTTATTATTTATTTTTTCTTTTGATTCTGTTCTGGAATTTGCTCTATAGACCAGGTTGGCCTCGAACTCACAGAGATCCACCTGCCACTGCCTTCCAACCACTGGGATTAAAGGCGTGCGCCACCACCACCCAGCAGCAACTCGTCTCATCCTCTGCATCTCATCTCTGGGCCCAGGATGATTGGCAGCTGGTCCTTTGCAAAGCTGAGTAGTAAGCTGTGATCCGATCTCCTTTTCTATGGGCACTGGGCCACTTAGAAGTACAACCAAGTACGGTGGCATGCTCTTGTAATGCTAACACTGAGGAGGCAGGGAGAAGCGGATCCTTAGGGCTTCCTGGCCGGCCAGCCTAGCCTCCTTGGTGAACTCCAGGCCTGTTTTAGGATACAAGAAGGGGAGCTGAAGAGAAGGGCTCAGATTTTAGGAGCACATATTGCCCTTGCAGAGAACCAGCTTTTGTTCCCAGCATCTACATCAAGTGGCTCACAACTGCCTGGAACTCTAGCTACAGGGGCTCCGATGCTTTTTTCTGAACTCTATGGAAATCTTTCTCACGCATGTAGATACCACCACCTGACACATAAATAAATGAGGCTGGAGAGACGGCTCAGTGATTAAGAGTACTGACTGCATTTGTACAGGGCCTGGGTTCAGCTCCCAGCATCTACATGGCAGCTCACAACCACCTGTAACCCCAGGCCTTCTTCTGGCCTCCATGGACCCTGCCCATATGTAGCGCACATATATACGTGCAGGTGAAACACCCTTACACATCAACTTGCACAACTCAGGTCATCTACAAGAGTAGCAAGTGCTCTTAACTTCTGAGCCATCTCTCTAGCCCCCTGCTAAGCATTCATTCTTAACTGAACAAAGTCTAATTTATCAGGTTTTTCTTTTCTTCTATGCCATCCCAATTCTATTCATGGTCCTACGTAAAAAAAAAATCCTATTATCTTACCTAAGAAACTTTGGCTTTCCTCTAAGCCACAGAGGATTACCTGGTATCATCTAAGACCGGTTACAGCTCCAGTGCTTCTGTTCAGGAGTCAGATCCATTTGGATTGGTTCTGTGTATATCATCCCCACAGGAATGCCCACGTGATCCAGGATAATCTGCCC